AAAATATTATAATACTACAAAATAATGAATTTAAAGTTATAATATTAAGAAACCCCAAAGGCCTTTATTTCTGTTAATAAATGTATCCTCCCTTTTGAGGCTAGATAAATAAATAAAAAGTAAATAACTCAAGGATGTACTTGAGGAGAAATATATATTTTTGGAAGTTTTGTGAATATTTTTACTATTTGCAGATGTACAAAAATGTCTTCCCTCTTCTGGTCAGTATATGTCCTTTTATGTTAATGTGTATATAAATAAAACAATTATGGTGTTTACATTGTTTTATGCCCTTTGAATGACTTGCATTTGCTGCCACTCAGAGGTGATTTGTGGTATAGCAGTTGATGAGTAAGACTGATATTTTCAGTACAAACCAGATAGATGTCAAAATAAGTCTAATAATTATAATGAAAACAAAAACAAATATTTTATATATTTATTATATTTATTACGTCGAGAGGAGCCAGTTGAGGTGACTCGAGCATCTGTTCTGGATGCCTCCTGGGCTCCTCCCTTGAGAGGTGTTCCACCGGGAGGAGGTGGAGGACGTGTCTGGGGTGGGAAGTCTGGGAATCCCTGCTTAGACTACTGCCCCCGTGACCTAGCCCCAGAGGAAAATGGATGGCTGGATATTTATTACTTTTGAAAAAAAAATAAAAGTATGCCAATGATTTTCTATCAAGCATTTTTATTTATTGGTTTATTTTGCACATGTATTCAAACTTTTTATTGTCATTTAATACACTGTCCTGGTATAACTGTAATGTAATACTCAATGTCACTTGCATATTCAAATGAGTAAGATTCATAGCCAGATATGTATGATTCACTTAAACAGTTCAGTCTTACACGCAGTCGTCACAGCAGCCTTTCAATGTAGGCACAGCTACTTACTTCTATATATACTTTATTGACCTCTTACATCACACATCATACTGCATTGTTTTGATATTATTTACAGGTTTTGAGACTGACCAACAATCGGACATACCTAGAAATGCCAAAGGATTTTTACTTGCAAAATTCCTCTTTCAACATCAGTACCCTGGATGATGACTTCTTTGGCTACTGTGAGGACATGACCACTGGTATCTTGGTTTGGGCCATCTTCTCTACCCTCTTCTCACTGCTGGGATGTCCAGCCTGCATCACTGTCCTTTGGGAACTTTTACAGGGATACAAAGCAGGTACCCCTTTCACACCAAATGACATCTTTATGCTCAACCTGACTTGCATGGACTTGGTTTTCTTATTTTTCATCCCAGTTGGGTGTTGTAACTACCTTCTCTGGCACACTGAATTAATGCAAATATTCACCGACTTTGTGTGCTGCCTTAATCTGGCTGGGCGGCCTCTTCTGACTGCCTGTATCTGCTTTGATTGCTATCTAGCTGTGGTCCATCCAGTCTTCTACAGAGCAAATAAAAGCCTTACTCCACGCCTGCTCATGTGTGCTGTAGTTTGGACAATAACTTTCATACAAGGTGCATTGTCCACCATCATTACAGAGTTCTTCCATAGTCCCTGGGCCATGTTTATCTATGTCATAGCGCTTCCCATTATAACCACATGCAATATTTCCATCCTTTGTGTGCTCAAGTCCTTGTTCCCAGGCAAGACAGACCTCCACCCCAAGAAGAAAAAGGCTCTACAGATCATTACCAATAGTATGGTGATGACTTTTGTTGCCTATGTGCCCCCTGTTTTGGGATACATCTTGGGAGGTCTCATTATCACTGATGATCACCAGTACGAGTGCTTTGTGGCTATACCTATCCTTATAGCCCCAGCTGCAGGGAGCGCCATCATGCCTCTGCTCTATTTGGGCAACCTAGGTAAATTGGAGAGACTGTGTAATAATTAAAGTAGATTTTGGGAGCCCATTTTCATAATAAAACGAGCATTTGCTTTAAATGCAATAATCAGGCATCAGTGTATCCATCCATTTTCAATGTGCCAATACACACTCTATATTCTTTCAATTAATTGAATTAGCGTAGATGGTTAGAGAAGCCAAAAACTGAACTCAAGTAAGAGTGGAAAAGTATTGGGGAAAACTACTTCTCAAGTAAGAGTAACTTGAAGAGTAACTGTCATGAGGTAATGTGTTTTATAATTTGAAGTTAATGTAATGAAATAAGAACTATTAGGCCTATTTAAATATATACAGTATAATATTATAAGTAATATTATAAGAAGCGGCACAAGAAACTTAAATGTTCAGATCATTTAATCTTGACAAGTTCTTAACATAAAGACATAAATTTGTCACTTGTAGACTCACAGTGGGAAGAGGAGCCAAAACATGTACTCAAGGAAGTGCACTGTTACTTCACAAAAAATATTACTCAAGAAGGAGTAAAAGGAGTATGCTGCTAGAAAAAAAAAAAAAAAAACTTTAAAATGTAATTGAGTACTACCCACCTCTGTTAATCAGCATTACATTTGTCACAAATTTGCTTGAATTCTTATGCAAACCTATTTTCCTATTTTATTTTCACAGTATCTTAACAGTGTGTGCGATGATAAAGAGATTAGTGTCTGTACACTTTTCACTTCATGCCAATGGTCATTATGTGTTGTTGATTTTTGGCCTTTTAAAAAGTGGTGCAGAATATGTATCAAGATTATCAAACCTTTATGCAACAAGGTACAAACCTGAGCTCCCCTCTGAAATCAGTTTATAGAGGGCCTCAACTCCACAATCACAGAAACCATGAATGCTTAAAAGCACATGTCTGTTTCATCTTGTGAGTTCTGCATTTTATCTGCTAAAGATTTTTGTGTTTATGACAAAGATGAACTGCATTATGTATAACTGGGACAACTCCTGTTGAAAGTCTTCTAGGAATAAATATAAATAATAAATATAAAATATTGAAGAAGGTACAGGGCGATGAAATGCATCACATGATGTTTCTGATGTAATAGTAGGGACATTATCACCTTAACAACTTGTTGGAAAATGTGTAAATGCCTGTTATATGTCCATGCCCTAGTACGGGAATGTTTGTTCTATACTTTGCCTCTGCTGCTGTTGTGATGATGATCATTTACATTGGAAGCATTATCCCTGTGCATAATAAACCACATGCAAAACTATTCTGAGGCTGAAGCCATTAGAATAACCTGATTACCTTGGTACATTGATTGGTACAAAACAAGTCAAACCACAGCCATCAGTCATTTTTATTTACTTTTTTGTAATCATTAGGGAAATGCACATCCATTATTTGTGGTAAAATCTCAATGCAAATGTATCTCAATGTAAATCGCTAACTAAAATAACATGAGGAAAACACTCTGATACACAATACATAGTTATTTGTCATAGTCCTCCCACTCCTTTTTTGGACACAAGTGAAATCTGTGTGACATTTATTTTTGTTTATTATTGTAGAAAATAAATATTTACTTTATTATATCTATGTATTTATGTTTTCTATGCATGTTCCATGCATTACTGTCTGAATAAACAGTCATTCTTTAATTTGCAGGGCAGCTCCACAGCACCTCTTCAGGTCGGGTTACAACAGCAACAACAACAACAACAGCAACAACAACAGCATACATAGTCACTGTAATCATTGCAAGTCATCAAAGAGATATTTAGTGGAAGTTCAACATCAACAATCTGTTAAATTGGATAAATAAAACAGAATATAAGTAGAATAAATACAGAAACAGTTGTTTAACCAATATCACCACCTCTAATACTACTACTTTGTATATACATCCATATGGGCATAACATTCTCATTGTCTATTATACAAGCCTTTTACACAGCCCTGTGCAATGTAAATGGAGTATTCTCCCATATCGCTATTCTTTTTGGACCAGTTTTAAGAGACATTTGCCACCAGACCAACAGTATATCATATAATCATAGTTAACCACTCACATTATGGTCACATTTTTCTATAGCGCTTTTCCACCAAGGCACTCAAAGCGCTTTAAAACAAGGAACCACTCACCCATTCACACACCAGTGTACACAGACACTAGGGGCAAAGTGGGTTAAGTGTCTTGCCCAAGAACACAACAACAGCATTCATCTGTAGGAGCTGTAATCACACCAGCCAACCTGTGGGTCAGTGGATCTGACCGCTCAACCAATGATGCTTATATCGAGAGTGGAATTCAAACCACCAACCTTTAGATCAGTGGACAAACACTCTACCAACTGAGCTACTGCTGTCCGTTAGATTCTACGTTTTGCTACACCAAAGTTTAAATCGATCAAACCCACCAAGGTTTTGAAGAAAGAGTAAAGGCATGACTGCAGAACCCATTGAGGAGAAAAGAGTAAGTGGCATTACCACTGAGCAGAAGTACAAGCTTATATCTGTTACTAAGCATTCCCCTATTATAAATATAATGATTGGAGGTATATAGCACAGCAATGATGCCACCAAACTGTTTGTGACTGTTTGTATGGCTCTTTGCTTCTGTGGATGTAGATTTTTACCCCGTAAGCCTGTCTTCATTAGAGTATAGATGATGAAAAAATCACAAATTATTATTATTGTAACTGCCAAGACGTAAGGACAAATGGATATAAAGGTCATGTATATAAACAAATTGATTCCTATTGCCAACCCAAAAGCCAAGGTCAAAAGCCAAACGACAACTGCTACAATGACCCTGGGAGTGAAAGTGGTCCAGTTTCTGTAAAACAGTGGGTGAACTACAGCAAGATAACAGTCAATACAAGCACATACCATTATAAGAGGTCTACCACACACACTAAGGGAATAGATCCCATTCCAGAAAACTTCCATTGTCCAGTTGTGCAAAATGAAATGATTGACCAAACCAAATGGAAAGACAACCAAGAAGACCCAATCCATGACAGACAAGTTCAACATGAAGAAGACATTTGGGGTCAAAGGTACAGAGCCAGAGCTGTATTTTTTATAACATTCATAAAAAATGCATATATAGGCAGGGAAGCTGAGAAGAAAGAAAAAAATGCTAAAAACGCACCAAATGACCCTTCCATATTCGTGGTCCTGGCACATGGTGAAATTCTTTAGTTCTTCAAAAAAATGTGTTGCTGTTGAAATGCTGGAAGACAGATCCATATTTGAGATTGTTTATACATCTAAAAATAAAAGATAATTAGTAGAATACAATAAAAAACGGTGAAACATGCATACCCAAAGCTTAAAGATAAATGGCAAGTTAGTACTGGGTCACTGCTTTTGTTAACACATCAGTCAGTTTTTCCCATTGTGAGAGACAACTATGCAAATGTACTATGCAAAAAGTCAACAAATTTAGTTGCATTTGGAACATACACACAAAATAGGCCTATTCATAGTTCGCTGATAACACTTAGGCTATTTTATTTGTGTATTAATTGTGTACATGCATTGTCATTTCAGATGATAAGATGATTGCTCATTAAGGATACTAAGACTGGATTTATTGTAAATGTTAAATCATAAAGCACTGCATCAACAGTTCTATTTTTCTATATTATATATAAACGACACGTCTCCCCAAAAAAGTTAATATAGTAGCTTATTTTGTGTGTGTCTTTCCATTCATTACATTTTTCTCAGCCCTGAAGGCAGCAAAGCCATTTTTGTCCATTAGTCGAAATGTGCTTTGAGAACATTTTAGATGTCTGCACAGGCTGGTTTATGGAGCAGGCATTGCGCAATGAGAGGAATACACCGATAAATGCATATGCCGCTGCAGTGTGGCGTTCAGGGTCGTGTTTTTCTGCATGAAATTCTCAACAGAATTTCTGAATCCATATGGCACAGGCTTATGTAAAGTACTATAGGCTAGAGGCGTCATGGAAAGTGTGACCCATAGCCATAGTCCCCGGTTTGGAGTAGCCTACGATAACAAGGTTACGCACACTTCAAAGATACAGTCATAGAACTATAACAAAGGACTATTCAGCCTGATATTATTATTATGTGCTGTATATTGCTGACACATCGTTGTGTGTAGTGAAATTAAAATGTTAAGGTTAAGTGTGGTTTTAAAAGTTGAAAAGTATTTTAGGTTTAGAAAAAAAAAAAAAATCCAATGTAAAATCCAATGCTTTCCAGAGACACGTGTCTCAGATAAGTAACCCTCCCCTTAAAGTGTTTTGTCTCCTCAGGTTCTCTATATTGTATTTTTTATGCAGACATCAGGCAACCATACAATTTAACATAGGCATCTGTGAGAAAATGAGAGCAAGGTGTTGTATCAGGGGGTCCATGGTAGAAAAAGGTTCAATGGTAGTCAACATTCTCCATCTGTTCTTTTTTTGTTTTTTTTTACTTACAGATACATTTAGATAAAAAAAAAAAAAAGATACATTTGCCTCCTAACATTTACAAGCCTTTGGTGGGTGCATAACAGTTTAAGCCTTTTTGTTGAATAATATTAGCCTGCTGTGTCTGCTCTAGCCAATGTTCACCAGGCTCTGATATGGGACATGCTGCAGATGCCGTAGGCCACTGAGGGCCCTGTCCTGGCCTACACCACAGAGGGTGAGATCAATAATATCCCGTGGGCCTCTACACAGCCAGACTGGATCACTACATGCAACAACAACTGTTTGGAAAGGACCTAACACTCAATTTTGTCAGAATTAATTTATCTATTTTCTTTCTTAATCTGATTATTTGTGATCATTCTTTTTTCATGGTGTTTTTCCAAACACTTCTACCTACAATGTCTCATATCTCTGTATCTGTCAGCACCTGTCAAACAATGATCATGAACAATTTAATGTTCTGCTTTATTTGACCATATACAGCCACAGATACAAATACTGGACTGAAAATATGATTAATACTGTGTTTCATATACATTAGGAAGAAAAGTTCAAAGTTCAAATCACACAGTTTCTGGTCTTGTACATTCAAGTACAACTTGGTCATGTCCGACTGTGGATCCAAAGAGCACCATCAGATGTGCTAGCAGCAGTTTACTCCACTACAGGTGTGACAGTAGCAGCAAATGTCAGGCGACTGGCAGCACCGGGTCTGACAGGTGCTTCTGCATATCGCTCAGTCCAGAGGTGAGGTCCAGGTTTCCAGGCAGTGAGGGGTAGCGCAGACTGTCACTCAGCCTGGGATTGTCCAAAAGAGAGGACACGCCCAAGGACTGATGCAGCTGTGAGGCTAGTCCTCTGTTGGTCTCTGTTTCAGGAGTGACCATCATGGACATAGTGTCATCTGACGTCACGTGGATCCCACTGGAAAATGACTCCTGGGACTTATTTGTAAATTTAAGATCAGTCTGTGTTGAACTCTGAAGTCAAAAACAAAAAACACCAGCTTTAGTCCAATGTAGGATATTAGTGATAACATCTGGTATGTGACCATACCTCAGTAGGTATCCTGCTGCTGATCTGTATGGGGGAGATGGGGTAGATGGAGTGCAATACTGGAGTCCCAGTCCCATAAAGGCCAGTGGAGTCGGTTGGTATGGTGCTGGATGACACTGTACTATAGGCTGGAGGCACAGGGGCTATCTGCCTCTGCAGCAGTTGCAGAATCACGTTAATATCCGCTGTCATTCTGGTCTCCAGTCTATGGTCAACAAATAGAAGTAAAACTATGTGGACAAGTAGCCGCAAATGATAAATATATAAATGTGAATAAAAGCACCTGTTGAGTTGAGAATGCAGCACCTCAAGGCGAGACTCCAGTTCACTAGGTCGTTCTTCTGTAAAAGGTGGGGGGTGGTACGTGTGACGCACAGAGGAGGACCTCCACTGACGACTGGAGAACTGCTGGGATTGATGCTCCGACCAGAACTGATACGAGCCTGAGACACAGAAAAATTTACATTTTCAAACTGTAGACAATGTATGATTTTCACCACTAGAGGTCACTCAATAGCAATATTAGTCATAATGTTTTCAGGTAGTACACTAGGCATCATTTCATGCATTTTCCCCTTACAGATATGACACAGACACAAAAAATTCAAACACAAATAAAATTTAAAACCTTGGTGTCCTCTATCTAGTCCCCCCTCTCTACCCACTGATGGGGAGAAATCCAATCGGGAGTCATCTGGGGGGTACAGGTCCACTTTGGGGCCATGTGTGGGGGCTTTGGGAGGCTCTTCACTGGACTGCGAACACGCAGAGCCACAGCTGCAGTGGTCCTCCCACTGGCTCTGAGGGGGAGAGTGATGATGATGGAAAGACTGTCGTTGGTAGGAGTCCTCATGATCAATACCATCTGGAACAGAAAATGTTGTCATCCACATAACTACACACAAAAATGTATATTGAACTCTAAAAATAAATAAGTTCTCACCTGGCCTTATGCGACAGTCTAAAGAGTGGATTTTGTGCCTTGATTTGTGATGATATCCACAGTCATCCCCAGAATCATCTGTTATTATTGGTGGAACTTGATCTGTCTAAAAATATATCTGAATTATTAACTTTTTGATTTGTGTTCTTAGAATACTACAATTTCTAATTTGATTTTGACACTTGATATTGATACCACAATAATAACACACTATGCTTTAAAAGAAATAGAAAGGAAATCAGAAAATGCTGTCTTTTTATGCCTTTATATATTGACTGATTTGATTTTAATTTAACAGTCTGGATAGTAGTTTTAGTACAAATTGTTATCTGAGTATTGATTTTTGTTATTGATTTAAAAAAATACAACATACTCTACTGACAAAACCTACATCTCTTAAATCAAAGGTTATCTCCAGATTCCTCCAGAAGTTATCTGCAAACCCTGGGTACATGTCCAGCACCTCCAGCAGGTCATCTCTGAGGATGCGGTGCAGGTCACAGTAGGAGACTGTGAGCACATCAGCGTTGGACTTCCCTGGCTCATCGTATAAGTAAATAAGCTCACCAAAGATGTCATTCCTTTCTACAACAGAAAAAAATAAAAAATAAAAAATATATATATATATATAGTGAATTGAAACTGAAAAGAGACTAGAACATTTACCTAATATGGCAGCAACCACATCGTCTCTGATGACCTGGATGGATCCTCGTGCAACAAAGAACAGAGAGTCCAGAATGTCCCCGTAATGAATGAGGGTGTCTCCTGGAGGGGCATGCACTGTTTTGAATCTGATTGCCAGAGCTCGGAGACAGGCCTGACTACCTCCTCGAAAAGCTTTACAGTTCTGCAGCAGAGACCGGTTCAGGTGCAAGCAGATATCAGCCTGCAAAGACTCAGGGAAGCCTTTCAGCACCTGTCAAGAGCAAAACCATAAAGTAAAGTGTGAAACAGGAGATACACAAACTGCTCTGTCCTATTACTTACTGCGTTCATGTCAATGCCATTAGTGTAGGACCATGCATGTTGGAAGTACTCCTCCAGCCTTTGCCGCAGACCTCCAGGGATTTGGTGAAACCGAATAAACTCTTTTACACGAAGCATCTGGGTATGGTAACGTGTTGTTCCTGAGTATAACCGCTGGATGATGGCAGACACATTCCCAAAAATGCTAGCATACATTAGGGCTGTAAAAAAAAGAATTTGTATCATGCCAAGCTATTTAAATAACCAACAGATGAAATCTGAGCCGCAGAAATGTAACTTAACTTACATCCAATTACCATGACGCAGATGGAGAAAATCTTTTCAGAATTGGTGTTGGGGGAGACATTTCCAAAGCCCACACTTGTCAAACTACTCAGGGTGAAGTACAGCGCTGTGACGTACTTGTCTTTGACCGATGGACCAGAACGGGAGTCACTGTCATTGTAGGCCTTGCCCAGTTGTTCAGCCAAATTGTCCAGCCATCCTGTTTCTGTGTACGGTCTCTCCACAAAACCAATGGCATACCAAATACAAGCCAGCCAATGGGCAATGAGCACAAAGGTACACATGAGCAGGAAAAGCACTGCCGCCCCATACTCCGAGTATCTGTCCAGCTTTCTGGCCACACGAACCAAACGCAGCAGTCGAGCCGTTTTGAGGAGACTTGTTAATGTTGCCATCTTATACAAAAAGACAAAAGTTAAAATTATATTCAGTTGAGAGGGACAGCGAGAGAGCGAGAGAGAGAGAGATGTGGCAATGATATTGTCCAATTTTATACCTGGTTTAGCCTGATTTAGATCTGGAATTTTCCTGTTTTAGACTTGGTTTTGATCTGGTGGTCTATAACAGGATTTTTTTCCACACTTTTTTTCTCTTAAGTGGTATTTCTTGTGAGGTTTGAGAACAACTGTTTTAACTGACATGAAAAATGGTTTTCCATAAATCACTGCAGGAGTTTGTTGGGTCTTTGGGCCTGAAAGTCTCCAAAGCTACCACAATATTAACTTAATTAAATCATCATGAATATTTTTTGTTGGAGGGCACTAACAGCCACAAGACTTTGTAACTTTTGTTGAATTGCAAAATGCATTCAGAAATGTATAACAAATATATGTTCTTACCTCATCAGAGCCGGATCGGAAAATGAGGAGGTCAAATGGGATTGCAGCAAACAGATCAATAGGGAACCAGCCTTTCATATAGTGTTTGGCAATTCGAACAGGCTTTGTCACCACTTCGTCATTCTGATCCACATATGTAGTGCGAAAGTTGATGACTATATCTACGATAAACAACACATCCACCAAAAGATCCGCAACATTCAAGGGGTTGCAAGTGTAGCCACAACTCCTCTGCCGCACGTCTCCATGCTCGTCCAGGAGGAATGCAGCAGAGTAAGGGGTGAAAACAGCCGTGTACAGGACCAAAATGAGGATAATCCAGTCCCAAAAAGCTTTGAAGGGGCTGTAGTGAAGTAAAATCCACCGAGTTGTCTCTGGGACCTGTAGTTTGTATTCCGGCAGCACATCCGACTCCAAGGAAAGCACCTACAAACAAGGAAAACACACATATGTAAACTGTTTTATTTTAACTTATTTTTAATGTATATTATTTGAATAAACAAATATTGTATATGAAATCTATCTTTATTGATAGATGTATGTTGTAAAAACAACACAAAAAAACGCCTACATTTGTCTATCTTTAATACTGACCAACAGACCTTTCTGGAAGATCTTCTTCCACTGCTGTTTTGACCATGTTCTCGGTGAAGACTGCATGTTCTTGATTTGCAGCCTTGTAGCTCAATTAAATCCTTTACCATGCTGTCTTCTTGAGTAGAGGGGTCAAAATGATATCCAGTTAAAAATGTATCCTAACTATCCAGAATTTCCCAAGCAAAGCAGTGAACACTTGTTATCAACAGCACAACTAGAGCGGGAGTGCTGGGTGCTAGGCTGCCCCATCAAGCTGCAAGTCACATAACAAAGTTCACATCCTGCCTGTGTGCCCATTTAAAAACATTTTAAGCTTTATAAGCATCCGTACGGACCCATCCATATCAGCGGATAGACCCATGAATGAAACTCAACACATCAGGATCAACAAGTGATCCACCAGTGCAAGGTCATTGGCTTTTACAGATGCCTCCCTTTCATTTATTTCATATCCACAGCTTAGCATCACACAGAGGCAGTGATGCAGAATGCCGAGCCCCAGGGCTCCTGCACTAACAGTGGGATTCAATTGAACAGTGGTTCAATTTAACTTTGCTTTTCACACCCAGGAGGAAAGCATCCAGCCACCAAACTACTTAGTGATTTTTCCTCTCGTGGGCTAATTAGTATCTGTCTGTCATTATGACAACCTATTGCTGAAATTACATTTCTCAGAGATAAATAAAAAACAAACTCACTAATAACACAAGTTAAAAAAAAAAGAAAAAAAGATTTCCAGTAGAGCTGTTGTGATTGTTGTAATCATTGTATACTAGAGCCCAAGTTCCTAGCCCCGTACCTGAGTGACCTTCTCTGTGACGTTTTGAGATCGGTCCATCACCTTGGAGGGACTGAGCAGCTCCACCCGAGGGGTTGGAGGGGATCTACACTCGACAGGGCCCCCAGTCCTCATCAGGTCCATGATGGACATTGAGCTTCACCTGAAAATTATACAATTGTAACAGATGAACATACTAAATTGTCTATTAGTTAATCTAAGTCTGTGTGTTAATTGTTTGGTACTATTATGAACATATTGATTTAAAACAGATTTGTATAATAGTCTGAGTGTGTCTGCACAGACGGGCAGTGTGATTAATTACTGTGGTTTCCCAGAATGCTCATGTAATTTAGCCCCTCCCCAAACACTGTGGCTTTAATTACAGGACAGGTCGCAGCAATTGCCTGACAGTTGTATCATAGCAGGGAAACAGGCAGCTAAGAGAAAGCCAATTATAAAATTGTTATAAACTAGAAACTTCAAAAACAGAAAATAAATACACATACCTGATTAAAGTACAGTGAGCTATCCCACTTGACCTTCAGGCATCCATGACTCAAGCCTCCATCCCATCAGGTTTTGGTCAGATTTGTGACAAATGTCTTGGTTCTTCATTCGCGGCTCATGCTGAGGCTAAACAAATGCGTTCTTGGTGTGATACAGATGTCAATGTTGAACCTTCCACTCTGACACAGGGCAAACGACTGACCGCTGGCTCACATGTTGCTGCGCACCATTCGCTAACACTAGAAACCAATCAATGACATCCTATAGCTGAGAGGAACTGACTGCATGATCGATGGTTGGTATTGATAAACGGAGCAAAAAGGCCCAAAGCCATTAGACTGGCCATTCCCATTAATGCCAAATTACATCTCACTATCTCTGTATGCTGCACTATTTGAGGTTAAAGAGTTAATATTATTATGTATAGCCAACAGCCACATATGTGACTTTGTGATTTAAAGGAAATCAAATACTCGATACCTTAATGTATTATATGTTCGATATGTTGCATGCATGCTGCTAATGTAGGATCTTATTGACTAGACTGTTGACACTACAGTAATATGAGGGGGTAATGACCTGTGATGACTTTGGCCAAAATGTCCTTCATTGTTAACTTTTAAACATATGTATTATTTAAGGTGGTTAAAAATTAAGTGCACATATGTGGCCATTTTAGTCAAAAGGAACAGAAATTTTCTGTATTAAATAAATAGGCACATTTTAAATTTGTAACACATATTTTTTAAATATATTTTTTATTCATAATAGTCTATGTGCAAATGTTTTTCACATGTGAAATATAAAATGTCCATCAAGTGTCTTTCAAGCATTCTCAGCTATGGGCCTGGATGTTGTCCCAAACACGGATGACTTCAGGGCAGTCATTAAGTGCTTCTATCAGATTTGATGCACTGTTTATCTGATCGTCATCTAAAGGCAAGACTCTACGAGGAACAAACTCAAATCCCACTGAAATTATGTGTAGTCCCTGCTGCTCCAACGATGTCCGCACCTTCTTCAGTTCCGTGGTGTTACAAATAAACTACAAAAAAAAAATATTATATATATATATATATATATATATATATATATATATATATATATATATACACACACATTAAATGTATAATATGTATTAGAATTACATATCTTCACCTGAAAAGTTGTTGTTTGGACTGTAATATTCCATAATATGAGCTGTGACTGGTCACAGTAGGAATTAATGCTTTTTAAGGGCAATAAAACTACCAAACCAGGATAGATAAGTTTAACACTATACTATGGAACATTCAAAGCAAACCAAAAAAATATCCATGGAGTACCGGACAATCAAGTAACATACTGCATCTAATTCACATTTTGTAACATTATAAGAATGCCCATAATGGCATTTTACAGAAGTTAAATTTTACAGGGTATTAAGATGAAAGAAGATTATCTCGTGGAATACAGACCTTCAAGATGGACTGCTCCTCTTCATCCTCAGTCTCATGTACATCCTCTGCTCCTGCCTCTATAGCCAGCTCCAGTGCCCGCTCAGATGTGATGTCTTTAGCCAGTCCAACCACCACTCCTCTTTTCTCAAAATTATGCCGCTCCATCTGACCACATACCTCTGTGTGAAGAAACTGTTTTACTTTATGTAAATACCATTTGACAAAAATCATTTAAATCAAATTATTCTCTGAGACTATTCACTGTATGTTCAAAGATACCTAATGGGTTTTTATCAATCCACAGATTTTCGAGTAAACGGAACAAAATAAATAGTGAATAAAAAATATATAATATTTTACCCATTCTTACTGATGATCTTTTTAATATCCTGTTGCGTTCGTGAATTGCTGTCGGTTAGAACTTCAATAAGCAGCAAACATCCACCAGGGCCACGAACCTCTAACATCTGCTGAGACGCTGGCTTAGCCTTTTCCTGTGGTACCAATAAAATATTACGTTACTATTATTATTACTATAAGTAGTTAGCAACAACAATTATATACCAAATAATTCATGATTAAAGCTGCCATTATGTATTGAACTTTTACAATAATGGAATACAAATTATTGTTCGATTAGTGTACTTACAGCACTCTTAATTGCAGCCTCTACAGAAGCCTTGGGCATGTTTTTATTTCTGCACTGCTCCAGTAAATGAGCCAAGTTTAAATTTAATTCAGGGTTAGATCCACCCTCTATAAAGACAAAAAATTAAAATATATATATATATATGTATATATATATATATATATATATATATATATATATATATATATATATGGAGAGAGAGAGAGAGAGAGAGAGAGAGAGAGAGAGAGAAAGACGATGAAATTCAAAAATTGCTGTAAAAATCGTTACCTTTTACCGCTATTCTTATCATCATGGTAAATTTCATAAACATCTTTCCCCGAGCTTCATCTTTGGGACCCTTGATGTGTTTGACTTTAGACCACTTGTTGTGTCCAGCGCTGAGGGAGGGGCACAGATGCAGCGTCCTGGCAGAGGCACCTCCGGGCCGGGTACAGGCCGCATGAAGCGGGCAGAACAGGTGAGATTCCCGGGGGCGGACAGCTTCCACAAACAGTCGATACTGCCCTGGGACAGAATGCACGGAGTGGTCTCAAAACCGCTGCCATGTCCTTTACAGAGATGTAGACAGTTTAGTATCAACAAACTAGTACAGTCAAAAAGCTTGGGTAGGAAAGAAGCACCACTTCGCAATTATCGACACAATAGCAAAATAGCTTTTTTCGGGTTAACTTGAGGGCTTGCTCCATTCATGATTTTAAAAGTATTAATTAAATAACTAAACTCTCAATGTAGAACAGCCAAGAACACGCAGCTGCTCGTGCCCTTGTTGTGAACTGGGCATTTCCTGGTTTGCGCTGACGTCATAATCCTTTCAAAATAAAAGCGTTTTTCCTGACTTCGTACGTCTTAAACCTGTAAACTTAACCCTTACATACTGTTCGGGTCAAATTTGACCCGTTTTGACATTCAGCAGTAGAAAAAAATATCATAAACATCATTCTTTTATCCTGAAATTTGATGACTTTTCCTAAATTTCGCCAAAATACACAAAAAATGAAAATATTTTAAAATTGTATACTTTTGTACAGGTGCTACAAATTTTGCGACACTGAGGATGTTTCGGGTCAATTTTGACCCGTATCTATTAAGATGGATTTTAGCTCTATCAGTGCAGGTCAAATGAAGCAAAATGGAAGTTTTAGGGAAACTTGAAACTGTGAAACTGTACAGACCATGCATGTGTGTGTATTTTTTTATGGGACAGTGGTGACAGAGTTCAAGAGTTCACTGTTTTGAGATTTCCCCATGCCCCAGGTTCCCAGAGACAGACACCTGTTGGTTTTTGAAGGGGGAAAGGAGAATCTCAAAAAAGTGAAAGGAGTGATCATCCTGTTTATGGTGCACATAAGAAACACAAGTCAATCAAGTGGGAGAGAGAGATCTTTTCTTCTAAGTTTGAGTAAGTTCACCCAGGACACCACTGTTGTCTCGTACATGTAAAAGAAGAACAAGAATGTCATCCTTATGAGCACATTACATATGGCTGCAGAGGTGAGCTCCTGGGAGCTCCATCATCATCATCATCATCATCATCAGTCATCATCCTTGACTACAATGCCAACAAGGAGGAGAGGAAAACCTTGACATAGTAACAGGCACAGGTGCAAAAGAAGAACTTCACATTGGCCTGCTTTGCTGGCCCGCTTTGTCTATGGAGTGAGCTGAACCCGACCTGGAGGGCAAGCAGGAGGTTCATTTCTGGAGGAGCTTGGAAAGGCCCTTGTGATTCCCTGTATACAAAGGTGACACCAGCTTCCCCACACAGCAGCTTCAGCAGCTTCAGCAGCATTGGTGAGGCCAGTGCAGTGATCTGAACCTGACCCAGATCAAGAAGTCACACCAGAAACCAACACAAGGGCACAGAAGACAAGAAGATACAACTTTAGCCCTGCAAAGAAGAACTGCAAAACAGCTACAATCTGCTGCAAATGTGGGAAACACAGATGCAAGTCCAACACACTCAAAGTTTCCTACCACTGCTCGAATGCACTGATAAGTTTGAAATAAGCATAAGGGCCGCAGTGGATAAACATGGATATATTATAAATTCCAACAGTTCCAGAATATTCATGTCATTTTCAAATGCAATAATATATATAAAAATCATAATGGCTTTTATGTTTTTAGGTGTTTTGTAAAACAGGACTATGATACTTGTGATAGTAGATGTTTTTCTCCAAAAACGAGTGTTGTAAAACTTACTAAAAAATATGCTCTTCTTGCTCTCAGAAACATTTAATTTATATATTACACATATTTACAGTCTATTTAGTCATTTTAAATATATCTATAGTTCAAAATTTTGTTTAGACACTTACTATGAGGGAATTCTTGGTCCGAGTCAAATTTGACCCGAACCATACTGTGAAGGCTTCAGAAATGAACAGTATGTAAGGGTTAAAATAAAAATAAATCAAATGAATTACTTGTAAATATTCTTTGAGAACAGTAGATCTGCTATCAGTAAACAGTCTGTAATGAGACCTGCAACACACTGTTACACACTGTTTTTTTCCTCTCTACAGGAAAGTCCATATTGTTTACCGTTTTTAACATAATCATGTGTATCTGATTATCTGATTGGTTTATTAGGCTATGGTAATCAATACTGATTGATAAACTAATCAAATGTAAAGAAACAATTATGACCAATGACGAATACAAATTACAACTTGTGCAGTACAATGTTGTCAGGGTGGTTTGAGGTGAGTTGCAGAGAAAGCAGAATATACACATATGTAAGTCCAATACAAAATTGAATTACGTGATTATAAAACGAGGCACTGCAGGTGAATAGGAAACATTATACATGTAGAGATATCAGTTTGAAACTACTGTAATTTATTTACTTAACACAAATAAAGCATTTTATGTGTGGTGGCCAAAATTGCACATATTGGGATTGGGACATAAATATGAAAACTGGAACAAGATAGAGATTTTGGATTTTATTTAGTATTTGAGTAAATCTCAAAAAAAGAGACTTTAATAAATTAGGCCTACAAGTACATATAAACAAATCCTTTAGCACAGTCAAAATCTTGTGAAGTACATGAATGGAAATCATGGTTATGTAGGTGCTAATTTAAGAGGTAATCTTTATGTCAATGAACATAAAAGAAATAAAATAATAAAACTGGAAATAAAAATATTGTTTCTGCATGAAATACAGAAAATATGCAATCATACAAGATAAATAATGTTAAATAATAAACAATATATATTTTTAGATCAGTATTTAAAATTACAGCTTCTAACTTGACTATGATGATAATTAACTTGATCAAAAATATATACAAAACAAGCTTTAAAGTACTATTCTGATTTAGATAGTCATAATAGACAGTGGAGGAGCAGCATAAAGGGTTAAGTATGGGGAAAGGTCCAGCCAATCGAAGCCAGCCCATCCAGGAGGTAAAGTGGACGTTTCTCACACAGTTCTGCTCTTCCTCACCCAAACACACATTCTCTCACTACAGAATGCCAGGGGCTCCAAAACTGTGCTACCCCAAAACCTGACACATGGCACTTATATGGAAGAAGGAGAAGGATGCCATGTCCTCCTATGCTAGTGCTTATCTACCTGTTCACTGATGGGATAAGAAACTCTAACTTCAAGATCCAGGTTACTGAGGAGGAGAGGATGAGGAAGTTAAATTGTGTTCAATCATGAATGTATTTATTTTTGGAGGGAAGATGCAAACAGGACTGATTTCTACGCTCACTTTTTTCCACTGTGTAGTGACAGTAGTTGCTTTGGTGAGTACAACCTTTCAAAAAACATAACATTTAGAAGTCATTAATTGTATTTAGTTGTAGTCTGTGGTTTACAGAATATATTTACATTTCCTATATAATCCATTTTCACATTCTACTATAAAATGTGACACTTTGTTAGGAATCTGAGTCAGAGATAGCACCCTGGCACTGCTGCTCTTTGGGCCAAATATAGAAAATGTCATGTGTCTGTGATTTTCTTTGATCACAAAACCATGGATATATAAAAAAACAAAAGAAAACATATATGCAAACAGTGCAAATTATGTTATTGTAAGATTGTAAGTACTCAAGAAGTCTGGAAAAAAATATGAAGAACCTAACTTGTTTTGAACAAAATACTGGAATATTTTTGTACAATACACTATAAAGAATAATTCCTCAACCTTATGTTTTAGATTTAAGGGGATTCATTTATTTGAATCAAAGGAGTCTTGCAATTAGCCGATTTAGACTTAGATGAACTTTAATCCACAAGGAAAATTATTTGGACAAAATAACCCACATATCTTAATATAATACAATCACATAGAGCAAAAAATCTAATATATATAATAATAAATTCAAAATAAGTAGCAAAAATAGCAAGAGACTGCGGGTCAGTCTGGGTACATGTCAGACTTGTCTTGGATTATGAAACTGCAAAGAGTGTACAATGACCAAAACATGCATAGGACATGTAGCTGCATCCCACCTAACCACACGCTCAATGAGGCATGACACTGCAGCCGTAAAACATCACAGCCTTTCTTCTCTGAGTCGATCCCAAGTGTCAGTGAGGACAGACTTACAACCTGCTGCTCAGTTGCCCTTAAAATCCCACACACTACACAAATCCAATTATGACACAGACAAGACTGATGTCAAACGCTAATTTTGGTCTGTCAGCAGAAAGGGGCCATCATACAAACAATGATTCTTCCTTATAGATCTGCCTGTGCTGCTTCATGCTTCATGCTGCATGTCAATAGCATGTGATATACATGTGCATCAAATACAATTAGAAAAGGGAAATTATGTTTATAGTTGGATTTTTAAGTCAAATAAAATATGGTGCTAACAAAAATCCTCAGCAATACTTCAGATATGACCAGTCCTGTCTGTACGTTAGACAAAAACTTGCATCTTAAAATGTCTAGTCACTATACTACATATTATACACAATTTATTATATACTATACACAATTTATTATATACTATATGGACTACTATATGCTATATCTTATGCTATATTTTATATACTATATAAGTGCACCAAAATTCCTTTTAGCTTCCCTTACATTAGCTAGACACATTATTGTTTCCTGAAATGTTTAAAGTCAGTATTAAAAAACATTGCAGACACCAAAGCAGGGTGTAACTGTGTATGAGGAGGTTGTTGAACAGTCAGCAGATAATAGATAAACAGATAAAAGGCGAATAAAGTCAAAATACCCATTTTGCTATTCATCTGATGGCATTTGAGTATTCTGAGGGGCCTAGTTGACCCCTGCTAGTTTTGCTGTTTGGTTGTGAAATGTATTCAGGCACAAAGCGGCTTGTGAAAGCCAAAGTGGCTCAGGTCTTTGGGACAAGACCCCCCTGTGGTCAGAAACAGCTCCAGTTAACAGAGGATCACCACATATCGCACCTTGCACAAACTATTTCACAACACCGGGAGGCAGCACATCAGATCTGGGCTAATGTTTGTGGCTGTCAGATTTCCTGATATGTTTCCAAGTACATGACATCTGAGGTATGTTGCATTCAAAATTGACATCATTCTCCAAGGCAAGGGCCAGAGCAAAACCTTTAGGGAAATTTACCCTCATTTGTTTAGACCCCGAACTAGTCGTAACATGCTACATGAAATTACAAAAATTTAAAATATCTATAGTTATTCATCTAAAACATGCATGTTAACTTTAAACAACCGTATGTGCTTTTTATTTTATTTAAAATTTCATAAACCTGACCAAACTGTGTCCCCATATATGAGGTAGGCAAATCAATATATACAATTTACTTTATATTTACTTCTTATTTGTTTGTAAAGTGTCTTTGAGTGTCCAAAAAAGTGCCATAAGTCTGATGTATTATTATTATTAATATTTTATTACAAATATAGATTTTTAGTGATAACAACTGTAATTCTTATCTATAGAAACATTGAACATAATGGTTATAATTTGGTGTTTTGTTTTCCATGTGATAATCCCATCAGAAAGCAGAATGAGCCTCACACAGGTGTCATTTGGGTTGTCAGTTTCAATGCTTAAACCACTTGGTTAAAACCTAAAACCCTCCCTATTCGGAAACTTTAAAAAAGCAAAGGCAACCCAGGTTCAGTTGTGATTGTAGTACCTTCTTAAAAACTGTAAGAGTGCAGGCTACATACAGTTAATATAACATAAAAAAAAAAAAAGCACATTATGTCCCTCAGTTCCTGAATAGTCTGCACTAACCCAGTATTTGTCCTGTATAAGGCATTTATCTCACTCTCAAACTATTCTTTTTTTAGATTGACTCAGATGACGTCATCACCAAAGACGAGCAGATCTATGTTCTAATCGGGGCTCATGCCAAATGTGAACGCAGCATCAAGGCTCAGAAGGCTCCACTTATTGGTATTATTCTCATCATAACATGACCACTTCTGTTGTTATTGTTGTTGTGAAGTATTTCATAAAATATAATTCGTCAGTCATTGTTCCAGCTGCTTATTTATTTTCAATCAGATAAAACATTTCATTTCCTGTTACTGGTATCTCTTTGGTTATAACAATGAATTTGTGTCTACTGTTATCCATAATGAATGTGATGATTTTCTATATTTAAGATCTGAATAAAGCTTTAGTCTCAACCATTTTTGCCTACCCACACACGGACATCTATGACAAGGTAATCTGTCTGAGGTAACCATTAAGAATAATTCAATATTCCAAATAACACATTTGCAGAAGGTGAGTGTCCGCCTGAGTGGGATGGGATAATCTGTTGGCCTCGGAGCAGAGCGGGGCAGCTGGTGTCAGTCCTGTGTCCTGAATACATCTACGACTTCAACCACCAAGGTAATTATGATCAGTGTGATAAGACTTAGGCCTAGAGAAGATACTTGTTAACAAAGTGCCTGTATAAAAGGTACTTTAAAATATTATGGGCAAACATAAGCAAATGAGGACTGGGAACGGGGACCTGATTTACCTTGTTATTTTCTATTCCTCTTATGCTCTTTTACAATCACAATTACATGTGCCTTGTCAAAGAAAAAATTCTGTCAGCTACTGGGACAGACAATAAAGCTTATCTATCTATCTATCTAACTCAATGCAATATATTGCTTTAAAGGTACACAATGTAATATTTGTGGTGGAGTAAGTGCCACATTATTGTGTCCATGGAGATGTTATTGCTTTCATTAAAAGGTTTCACAGTATGGTATTTCACTTATGTTTCTCAATAGAAACAGACAGGTGACACTTCAGGGTCAAGTTACGGGTCACAGTAAGTAATTTTGAGCGTTAAACACCCATAATTTATTAAACAAAAAGATTAATGCCATCCTGTGAAACATTCTAGGCACAGCAATGGTATAACCATGTAGAAACTGGTAGCGGACCCACACCACGAGTTATAGTTATACAGTGCACCTTAGATAATGCATACCAATGATATATTACTAGGTCGGGCTTACCGCAAATGTGATGGTTCTGGATACTGGGAGCAGGTTTTCAGCATCAACCGCACTTGGGCCAACTACAGCGAGTGCACAACATACCTGACCTCCAACCAGCGCAGTCAGGACGAGGTGAGCCCTGAATACCTTTGCTTCTGGCCTGGAAAATACTCACACTCTGTCAGTTTTCCCTTTTATTCTTGGCATTTTTTGTTTTGCCCTAGAAGGTGTTTGAACGACTTCACCTCATGTACACAGTGGGTTACTCGATTTCACTGGCGTCACTATTGGTTGCTGTGTCCATCCTCTGCTACTTCAAGTAAGACTTAAAAAATTTCACTTTTCTGGTAGAGGGTCTTCCACCTGCTTGTCTCTGTGGAGGTGTTATTGCTTTGCCTGAAATGTTTCACAGTATGGCATTAAACTTATCTAGTATCTGAATGACACATGAAACAGATACCATAAGCAAATTTGCAGGTGATATTACAAAATTTAAAACATTTTATCTAACTTTTCTTGTTTTCCTAAGACGTCTCCACTGCACTCGAAATTACATCCACATTCACCTCTTCACTTCTTTCATTTGTCGAGCGGTCAGTATTTTTGTAAAAGACGCGGTGCTTTACTCCATAGCAGAAGAAGGCAGGTTGGACTTTGAGCTCACGGGACAAAAATCACACATGGTATATAAAAATATCTGAAATGTGTCCATGATTATCCAATGCATATTTTTATTGTGTACTTTTGTTGTTTCTTTTGTAGGCTGGGTGTAAAGTTGCAGTGACATTTTTCTTCTATTTTTTGGCTACTAATCATTATTGGATCCTGGTAGAGGGATTGTACTTGCATAGCCTCATCTTCATGGCATTTCTCTCTGACAAAAACTACCTCTGGGCTCTCACCATTATTGGATGGGGTAAGCAGTACATGGATTAAAATTACTTTACTTTTAAAGGTCTTATATTATACAGATTTTACTCTGTGAGCTTTAAGCCATGTTATAATGCTGTTACCTCATCAAAAACATACCTGGAGTTGTGTTTTATTTCATTCACACATGTTTGAGTAACACATGTTTGAGTAACAGTTATTATTAGTCTATCTATCTCCAAAGCTCAGTGTTTCACCTTGTGATGTCGTGTAGTAGTTTTCAAGTTAACAGCTACCGTTTGCCTTTTGTTCAGTAGAGATTGGGAATTCCAAGGCTGAAATTGTCCAAATAATTCTAGCAAAGGTTTTAAAACACAGTGGGACACTTCCTCTATTATCACATGACTTCACAGGAGTGTGTTCTGTTTGGGAGGAGCCTAAATATGCAAAGTCTGTGTGTTAAACAAATGTGAACGTGGTGAAAAACACAACTCCAGGTATGTTTTTGATGAGGAAGCAACATTATAACATATATCAGAAAATAGTATAATATGGGCCCTTTAAGTATTGCATTATTTTACTGTTTCTAAAATACGGTACTATGCATTTTGATGCAGGTGTTCCAGCTGTGTTTGTGTCCATTTGGGTCAGCGCTCGTGCATCGCTGGCAGACACACAGTAAGCATGTATTTTGTTTAAACAACTATTAAAAGAGACACATTTTTCCATTATATTATTATTCACAAAATATGATTTTCAGAAAGGGTAAAAACTAAAATAACAATGTCATTTTGGCATGAATGTAGATTATTGCCTGAAAGGAGAGTTTGTGTGATGTAACCCAGAAAGCTCCCATTTGACAAGGACAAAATATTTGAACTTGTTTCACTTTCAGATGTTGGGACATTAGTGCTGGAAATCTGAAATGGATCTATCAAGTCCCCATTCTGGCAGCCATTGTTGTATGTAGAAAAAGAAAGTTAAATTATTTTTATAGCATAAATTGAAAATAGCATGTTTGGCCTTGCAGGTGAATTTCCTTCTTTTTGTCAATATAATCCGTGTACTTGCTTCTAAATTATGGGAGACTAACACAGGTAAACTGGATCCTAGACAACAGTATAGGTAAATGCTTTCTTTTTTAAATGTATCACTCCTAAATGTAACAAGTAACATGGAAATAAATGTACACTTACTTGTATTCAGGAAACTGCTGAAGTCCACATTGGTGTTAATGCCTCTATTTGGAGTGCACTACATGGTCTTCATGGCTCTGCCGTACACAGAAGTGTCTGGGCTCCTGTGGCAGGTGCAGATGCATTATGAGATGTTTTTCAACTCTTCACAGGTAAAACACTATCACACTCAGTAAAGTAAATATAAAGTAAATATTGGTCATATATGTATCCTTGAGCCAACTTGTTTTCTGGCCATACTATGCAATGGCCAAGATTTTTTTTGTTTTTGTTTTTACTATACATTTTAACTTTTTTGTATATTAATGCTTTTGTATCTGTTTATTGTTGTAAGGCAACCTAGAATCTCTAGTCTAGTGTCTAACCTTAAGTATCAAACTAATTACGTTGTTTCTTTAGGGGTTCTTTGTTGCATTCATCTATTGTTTTTGTAATGGTGAGGTATGTGATAGATTTCCTTGGGATCTAAGTTAAACTGGCATTTCTCATCAAACGCTCCCTGTTCATAGGTACAGGCTGAGGTGAAGAAGGCCTGGCTGCGCCGTAGTCTAGCTCTGGATCTCAAACAGAAAGCCCGGATAACCAGCAGTGGGGGCAGCTGTTATTATGGGGGCATGATGTCCCACACCACCACTCATAGTGTCTCCGCCACCCACCCGAGGGCTCTCTCCTTCACTGGGGGCACAATTAGTACAGGAAGTGCTATGACCAACAATGACAGTGGCCAACCACCAAGTCCCACCTCCATCTATCCACAAAACAACCTACCTGGGTTTGTTCCAAGTGACTCAGAAATCAACCAATCAGAGTCCATTTTCACCAGAAATGTGCAACGTGAAGAGAAAACACTGCTATCACAGGAAGAAGACCAAGATAGTTTCTCATCTTTGAAAGAAATTGAGACCATGTTGTAAATCATAAGTCATGCATTTGAGCTCTACGAGGTACTGCAGAATAACCTGACTGAAATGAAGACTAGGCTATAACTAAACTAAAATTTGTTCATTCTCATGGGTCTGAGATATTTTTTGTACTTGTCTTTCTAATGTTCAAGAAACAATAAAAAACAAAACCCTGAGTAGAAATAAAATATATAAGCAAAATTTTCTAATAATTTTAGAAACTATGGTCTTGAGGTAGGACAATGGCCAACCACAACTGTGATTATGAATAATATGTCTAGACTACATGTATGGGAATGTAGAAAACCTAGTTTAAAAAGACAGAAGCTAAATGTAACAAATATCTGTGCCCATAGCATTTTAAACTCTCCTCTGCCCTGAGCGTCCTCACAACCACATTCAGAATGTCACACTGTGCTCCCAGGCCCAAAGGTGTCCGTGGACTATGACTGACAGACCAACAACACTGCTCCTGGTCTTCTCCATAGAAACAGGGGTCTGCACCTATGATGTTGGGTATTTACTGCAATCAATGCAATTACCGTAGTAAAGATCAAAAGAATGTGTGTAGCGCTATCTTTCATGACATCTAAAAGACTCTATGTTTGTCTGAAAGACACAGACTTTTAGAACTGCTATAGCATCAAGACAAAAAGGACAGCTCCCCATCTACTTGTGCACTGAATAAGATTTTGAACAATAAGGTTGTGATAATGAGAGTGGAGTCAAGACTGGTTGATGATGATAGGGTCTACATCAGGATGATTAGACCAATTCTACTCCTTACTGCAAAGACTGATGTTATAGCCTATTGGTATAGCCTATATGATACAGTTTACTTCACCACTAGTATGATTTTATTTGATTCCATCCTCTCGCTACGTCATTCTCAGCCTCCAGCTGATCCTGTGACGTAGTAACGTAGACAAAAAGAGGCGGAGAAACAGCGCAGGATGAGAGGTTTGGACCACTGGATCACTGTTCTCTCTCCTGCTGCTGGGCGCAATAATTTTACCACTCGAGGTAGACAGACTACAAAGCAAAACACTCGGGTTGGTACGTAGGGCTATACAATATTTAAAGACGAGTGAATACCGCAAAAGCACAGTGGGAGCGAGGGCATTCAGGCTCTCACATGCGGGCTGGAGCATCTCTGTTGTAGCGTCCAGCAGTGAAGAGAAGGGCGGCCGACAGGGAGGGGTCCGCTGGCTGGTCCTGGATGAAGCCCGGGTCTGGACAGGCAGATATGGCCGCGGGAGATCCTTCTGCGAAGGCGGCTGCTCGAAACTTGGCTGTGGAGAGAAGAAACCTAATTACAGTGTGCAGGTTAGCGCAATCAAAATGGCCATTTAATTTAACTGTTCGGTTGTTTATATTCCTGACAGCTCATTAGAAATGACGTGTATGATCAGTTTTAGCTAAACACTGAACAAGATCAGCTTGGGGTTAGCCTTTATATGACTAAAACGCCCTCAGTTTCTTCTCATAGTTAGCCACTTTAGCCATGTCATCTTTGTTAGCGCGATGTATTTTCCTCCGCTGATGGCGTGGTTGCTATGACGACAACCTTCTTGGGGCAGGGACAGGCTGGCACCCCAGGGACCCAGATACGAGTCTGCAAAGACCTGTACATCAAGGCAAAGTCCAATTAGCCTATGGGGGTGGGTAAAGTGAAAAGAGTTCTGCTCTTTGGCACAGCTGGGGCACGTTTTATGCTAATTTAACATGAGAAGGCATTACACTGACCTAGCTGTATAGCTTCAGTCAAGACATATAGATCAATTGCAGTGGTAGGCAATCATTTACGGAATCTTTTATATATTTTTTTACCTTTTACATTAGGTTTTCTCTAAAGCACAGCTCCTAATGTATTGTCATCTTTTTACTTTATTTTTTATTTTTGTGTCAGTGGTTTCAAGGTGAGTACAGTGATGAGCCTATCTGGGTCATACCATGGTCTGGGGACCACTGTACAGTGAATGTACCGTTTTAATGATAGTGGCCAGTTCCAGCAATCACAATGAAGGAAGCTTTGTTACCCTAGAACAATGACTATTGAATATTCTGTGTCAAGGAGTCCTGCAGAGGTTCCCATGTTCTTCATGTATGCATGAGTGTGTATGTTCTTTGAACCTTATGGAATTCATAAACAGAACTAGTTCCCTATAATAGTCAATTCTGGTTTGACTGCAGTGTTAGTAGTAGTCGGACCTATATATGATGTCAGACTTCCACAAGTATATGGCAGTAGTACTAGAATGTCTTGCTTGACATGAACCTTTTGTTTGACAAGAGAATTTCCATTTGCAACACAAATTATTCTTTTTGATGTAACATTCTATAAACATATAACAGTAAATAAATAGAACATGCTCCTTACAACCAATGTTTCCTGACTAAGAGTATTGCATTATATCTTCCTGAAAGCTCATATGACTATTCCTCTCAGTAAATGGATTACATCATTCATGAGTAAAAAGATAAAGTAGACCGTTACCTTACAGGGTGTCAATGTAGGCTATACCAACAAATGTGAATTATAATATTAATACATATATTTTTAATGTTAAAAATGGGAAAATTTAATAATATATTTTCATTTTTATTTGCTTTTTTGTGTTTGTTAATAAGTTTACTGTCTTTCCTTCACAGGTTTTCTGTTAAGACACTACTGGAAAAGTACACCACAGAGCCCATTGATGATTCATCAGAAGAATTTATGAACTTTGCAGCCATACTTGAACATATCCTTAGTCACAAATTCAAAGGTAAACAAAGTTTAGTAAAGTCATCCAGTTGGTTTTACAGTATTAGTGTTTTCTATCTATTATCATTCAGGGTCTGGAAGCTGGTTTGATGGCCAACGGAGTTTTTGGGACTTGATACGGCTGGCTTGTTCTAAAGTTCCAAACAGCTGCATCAACAGCATTGAGAATATGGAAAACATAAACACCTCAAGAGCAAAGGTAACTCATATTAAACATTACAATAAAATTTTATTCTATGTCAGTGATGTACTTAAGTAAAAATAGTAAAATTATCTGTTTAACTATATAGGGTCGTGCCTGGATACGAGTAGCACTGATGGAGAAAAGGCTGTCTGAATACATAGCTACTGCCTTGAGGGACAGTAAAACTACTAGGTTAATAACATCATATTAAAGAGCTAATACATTTTAAATTCTCTCATTTAACCTTAACTATTATTTTCACTCTAGGAAGTTTTATGGAGAAGGTGCCATCATGTTGAGAGAGGAATCCAGTGTGCTAACAGGCATGCTTATAGGACTCGGAGCCATTGATTTTAGGTGAGAGTCACACAAATGTTTTTGTTAAGATACAAATGTTTTGAGATGCTTATATGTAATAAATCTTGGCTTTACAGTTTTTCTCAAAGGGGAGGCGTTGGATGGAAAATCACCTGCTGTTATTGACTATACTCCTTACTTAAAATTTACACAAAGGTACAAACGTATAAACAACTCATAATATACTTACACTTGTATGCTAAATATTTGTGCCTACTCTTTCTACAGTTACGAGTATCTCAGTGATGAAGATGATCGAAGGAGTGTTGACAGCAGCACTAGTGATGACAGTATTCCTGAACACCCCTATATTCCACTGGTCACCGATGATGAGAGCTGGAGCAACAAGTGTCGCAAGATGGAGCAAAGATTCAAGATTGTCAATGCCCAGAAGGTATATATTTATTTGTTTGTTTGTTTATTTAGCTAATTTTTGCATCGTAATTGCACATATGTGGTGGTAGGGGTATCTGGAGGAACTGGTTCGTTTGCGTGAATCTCAGCTCAAAAACACTGAGACTGAAAACAAGAAACTCCGGTCCAGACTCGAGGAGCTTCAGACCCAAACACTGAAAGAGAAACAAGAACTGGAGGCTGTCATTTTAGAGTTGCAGGAACAGATGTGAGTATGAACTTCTTAGATTTGAAAACTTCTAACAAGTTTTAGGACTACTAACCTAAGCTGGCTGCAACAAACTATTATTTTAGTAGTTAGCTAGGCAACAGTAATTATTGTGTATTGGCATTAAAAAAAAAAAAAAAAATTACCAAATAAAGATGGAAAGTAGGATTGCTGGACTTCTAGTTAGAGAATATTTAGAGATAAAATGTATTATTAAGTTTATTTAGTTTGAGTATTTCAATCATTAATTGTTTATTTTTAGGGACATTTATTTGCATAATGCAGCTTTCTGTCATAAAAGATCTATTTGGATGTACTTCGGTGTTTGTATAGTCCATCAATTGGGTCAAATTATTCTGAATTAAGAAATATATGATGAATATGATATATAATATTTCTAACAGTTATCTCTGAAATGTGTTTTTTGACAGGACTAGCCTGATTCCATGTGACCCAAGCCACCTGGTAAAGAATATTTCTATTCCTTTGATCAACCAATGGCCCTCACTGCAGTCATACAACAGCCAAGAAGATGTTCAGATGTTTCGCAGGTTTGATGAACAATTTTATGATTTATAATGCATAAAATGCACATATTTGTGGTAAAAGACAAATAAAAATATCTTCTATTAAGGGTGGAATGAATTACACAGTAGTTATGATTTGATAAATAAAAATGAAATACATTGCCCTTATTTTATGTCAATGTTGAACCTGTCAGAAAAATGCTATCCTTGTGCATCTATGAAATGCACTTTAAGTACAACTTTGGCAGCAGTACTTGTTCTTGTTATTGAGTACATTTTTTAACCATGTAACAGTACTTTTATTCAAGTATAAATTTACTCTTTCCACCACTGCAAGATATCAACTTTCTCATTTCCTTTGCTCAATCAGTACATTAGGCAAATGCATTTTACACGGTTTAATAACCATGTTAAATCATTGACTTTTTAAAATATTTTAGGCGGAGCTTCCCGAGTACAGAGCTATTATCAGTGGAGATCAGTCTGGATTCAGACTCTCAGAGGATCGAAGGGAAACAGAATAGACCCTGGTGTACCACTGGTATTTGCATTTTAAATTAATGCAATTTAATTGTCCACTGAAATCAGTATCTAAATTACTTGTTTGATATTTAATCCTAGAAAAGGACTACACACCTTCAATGATGGGCCTGTGTGGCTCTTTGGCCTCCCTTCCCAGCTGCAAGTCTATGGCTAGCCTCAAATCCAGTGAGTGCCTGGTCCATATCAGCACCGACAACAGTCCTGCTCCCTCACCCAGCTAGGAGGCGCCAAAGATACTGCCAACTCCTTGTGACTGTTCAACAGGAAGATACAATAAAAAAATAAATAAATAAAAAAAAAAAGACTGCTTTTGGTAAGCAGATGTGTTGTCCATATACATGTCCCTTTACTTTGAGCTTTGCCAAATCCGTAAAGTACAAATTATTATAATTCTGAAGTGTCTGCTTGGGACTGTAATGGATGAATGTTTGATATAATTCTTAAACGTCATTGTTTAGCATTAACTGTAGGCCCTGCCCATTGTTGTGTGTGTTATCAACCATTCTCCTTCTGTCTGTTGCATAACACTGTCAGAGCTGGTGCTGAACTGTCAGTACCTTCAAAGGACAAACAAGGTCTTTTGTTTTATTATTTATGTATGTATTTATTTATTTATTTATTTGAGAAATCAAAGTGTTATTATTACACATTGAAAACTTAGATGCCGGTTTTAGAATAGGCCTTGAAAAGACACTTTTATCTGAATATAAAAATATGTATTACATCAAAAATACAAAGTGCTTTGTTACTATGCAAAATGAATGTTTTCTTTTTCAAATCTATTTGCTTTAGGCAAATATAAGATAGAACTATTGAAACTGCCTAGGGATTTCTTTTTTCACTTTTCTATTAAAAGAAATCTCATTATGTTGACGCTGGGAGGTTGTGTTGAAACTGCAATAAAACTGCCTTTTTTGAATAATACACATTTAAATGCTATCTCTGTCCATATGTAATTATGTACGACATTAGGACTGTACTATGCATCTTTTAATTTCTTCATTGACTAGTTTTAATCAATTGTACTGATTGATGATAACAGATCCGAGAAATATATAGCTATGTGTATGTCTTTGGCCTAAAGGCAACATCAGAGAGTAACATTACTGTAGCTAGAAAGAAATGCCCTGGTCATGCTTTGTCTATGTCTCCCTTTTGTATCTTCACTCTACCACTGAAAGGATTTAAACTTACAAGGTCATAGGTTAGGACCATTTGTTTCTTAAGACTGACTAATACAAGGGACAGGGCAAACAGCAGTTGGAGGTCCTCTGGCAGATAGATGAAATGCATTATGAAAGAGGCACATTCCAATTTAACACAGCCCAATTAACTACCTCTGTATGAGAAAGGGTTGACAAAAAGCATTCACTTTTAGAAGCTTGGTCAATGAAATAGACAAATGTGGTTGTTGGGCACATGTTTGGGCACTTGAATCACCCCATTTTTGCTTAACACTAATTAATGCTACACTGGTGCTGTAAATGTAATGTAAATGTTAAATGAGGATAGCCATGTTATGTTATCTGTAAACAGTTCATCAGCCAAAGCTTTGGCACTCCCTTTGAGACTCTTAGTCGGTGCATTTATCTCCCAGATCCCAGCACACTGCTGAACATGAACACAAACCACCCTAAATCAGCTGTCACACCTCTGACTTAAACTGCAAATTTGCAATGGCCTATGCCTATCATAGTGAAATAAATATTAAATTTCACATGATTGTGCTTCTGCTAAGATAAATCTGCTTAAGTCAGTGCATCAATTGGGAATTTCAGTTTACTTTTCAACTTTTCAACATTAAATGGATAGGAAGGGGGGGGGAATTGGATACATTCACATAAGACGGCTACACTATACGGCTGAACTTGCTTTCAATCACAATCTAATTGTCTTTCATTTGGACTATTTTATATGCTGTTGATAAATGTTTAATGCAAAGTTTTGAGGTTTCATTGTTGTAGGCGGTGACAGTAAACTTTTTTGATTGATGGAGGTATGTCCAATCAGATGGAATTACGATGTCGCATTAACCAATCAGAAGTAAGAAGCGCGGCTTGGCACGGCCCCAACATAATTAAATCCACACCAGCAGCGTGTGAAGCAAGTGTTTAGAGCAAGAACTCGGAGGACAGCTGAGACAACTGCCAACTTTCAGGCCCATCAAAACACGACATAATCCGACCTAGATAATGAATGGGACCTTCGGCGTTGCACAGAAGACGCAGGAGATCAACTTTTAGTCGCTTTTTTCAGACGGGAGCAGCTTCCTTTTTCTAGACCGGGGTGAAATATCGCAACATCCTCACAAAGAAACTTGCTTGCTAAACTGCTAACTCGCACCCAAGCAAGGAAAAGTGTGATTCAAAGTAATTATACTGACGGAAGCGCTCTATAATTCATCATTATGAAGAAACGTGTAGTTAGAAGAATAATCCGGGTGTAAATGTTGTTCAGATGACTCTAGACTGAAGTTTGTAACGGTTTTTTTGAGTAGTCATCATCAGTTAAGGAAGACGTGCAGCTGGTAACAGTCAGACTGCAGCAGAGCGCCCCCAAGCTCCAGGCAGGACACCCACAAAACAGGCACTTGCTCCTGCAAGCATGTCCAGCCGAGGTGGACTGGGACAGAGCCGGGGGGCTCCCTTAGGTCTACAGCCTCTGAAGGCAACGGTGCCCTTTCAGTTGGCCTGCAAACCAAGGTTCAACCGAAGAGATGGTGAGTTTGTCATTTTTACACGAAAGAATTATCGTTAAAGCAGTCTTGGCAATTGGCATAGGCTTCACTTTTTATTAGTTGGACATGGCTTGCTTAAAAAATGAACACAATTCTGCCATAAAAGTACAATGCCAAATACATTTTAAATCTAATGTATATTTGAAATTCAAGATGCATGATCACACAAAATAAAACTGTATTTAATAATATAGTATCCAAAGTATTTATATGACGCTGGCATGCTTTTATTAGTTTAGTGCGTAGTTGTCTGTTTAGTTTTTTTTTTTGTTTTTTTTTCCCCCAATGAAACATTTTTCAAGATTCTTTTTTGCATAATGTTGGGTCCTCTCTACAGCTGGAAAGGCCAAAGCCCATCAGCAGAGTGGCATGAGGCGGACAGTGTCCCTTGATGCCATTGTCGGGCCTTACCTGCATGGACACTGGCCCAAAGAGATTGACAGCCCCAGCAGCTTGTGTCGGAAAGACAAATCTACTCAGGTGAGAAAACTTGTGACTTGGCACCATCTAATGTGAGAAAAATTAAACTCTAATATTTTGAAGTTAAGTTTCAGAAATGTGCCAACATCTCTGCCTCAAGTTGAATATATCTCCAAATAATGCTGGTAAAGCACTGATTTTTAAGGAGAAACTGTATTATGACATAATGCGAAAGATAACTTTGCACATTTTGCAGAGTACAGAGGAGATAGGGGGAAGGGAGTGTCCACAGTACGCAGAGTTATTACACAGTAAGAGAACCACAGCCATGAGAACAGTCCCTGGTGTCAGCTGACAAAGCCGTTTTGGCTGCACCATCCTCTGCTCAGGGTGCAGGCTCAGGGTGCAGGCTCTCGCTAAGGCTCTACACTTGCCCACATCCTCCACCTTCTCTGTTTTTCAGTTTCTATGGCCCTGTTGCTCTTCAAGTGCAAACAGCAGTGAGTCTGTGGGTGTGCCGGTGTCATGTACTGTCAGATCAAGCATAAAGCATGAAAAACCCTTGCATGATGTACTGTCAAAATGTGGTCAATTCTGATTTAAGAGTTTTGTGCCATATTTGCTACTTTATACCTGTAAAATGTTAGAATTTTTATTTTGCATGTGTTTATTTTTCCAGACTCCAGATGCATGGTTTGACGACTCCCAAAGCCAACAAGGTAGCATTAACCACAAACGTTCAGCATCGTGGGGCAGTGCTGAGCAGCTCAAAGAGGTCAGTGTCTATTATCAACTTAAATCATTATTTTAGCTCAGTTGACTGAAAAGTATTATTATTGTAGATTGCTAAATTGAAACAGCAGCTTCAGCAGCGCAGCAAACTAAGTGTCTCGGGAGATCATGAAAAAGACCTCCACGGATGTGCACAAGGGAACAGTCACCAAGGAGCTGGACAGGTACCTAACCTTGTCCCAAACACATTACCTCACCTTTCACACTCACACATATGACAGTGAGGTGGTTGTGCATTTGTTTTTTAGAGCACAGATTATGATGTATGTGGTTTGAGATGTGAATGAGGCAGTAGTTGAAAGGAAATGAATGTCATGCAACACTGGAGCAACAGGAAAGCCAATAAATCATGTTGCTTCTGCTTTTAAGAGTAGAGTTGTCTAAACTTGTGGTTGTCTTATGTCATTGAAAACAAGATTTGTTTGTTTTTTTTTACGTGTAATTAATGTTTACATTAATTAATGATGTTGGATGATTTGATAAAATAGCCGATGAACAAGGGATTTTAAAAGTTTGTAGAAATGTATTTGCTTGATAAATGAGATGTGTCTTCTACATGTTTTGCGAACATACCATTTCTCTTTTTAGACCAAGCCTATTCCCATTCCTCTTGCCCCTTTGTCGACATTGGTCCCAAAACTTCGGTGCAGCGTGGAGGGTCTCAATCAGGAGCTGGAAGGCATGTTCTTCTGCCAGCCATTGCCTGCACTCCAAAGGGTACCTATAACAAACCACAGTACATTTTAGAGGTGTGTTGTTTTCAAATGCTCATTATTTTAACAGTTTCTGGAAGTGCCAGATGGACACCGTGCCCCTATCCCATCCCACAGCTGTAGCAGTGGATCCCAAAGTGACCAGGCCTCTACACCCCTCTCTTCATCCTCCACCTCCTCTTCCCCCTGCTGCTCTCCCACAGGCAAATCTACCTCGCCACCCACTTCTGAGCACATGCACCAAGGTTATTTCTCCACAGATTGAGCAGTCATGCATGTTTAGTTTTTAGACAAAATAACAGCTGTGTGATGATTGTGATGCACCAAAGTATTAGCTAGTTGTATTAAAAAGTGGCTGGTGAATGTATTAGATGTTTTCTTATTTACAGGACTAATGGAGAGTACAGAGATGTGTCCCATGTCTTCATTAAGCTCCCAGAGTGAGTCAGAGCTGCCCCTGCTGATCTCATCGTCTCCTGGGCCCAACAAGAGCTTCTGCTTTCAGAGAGAACCTCCCGAAGGTTGTGAAAAAGTCAGAGTTTGGGAAGAGACAAGGTAATGGCTGTGGCCTTTTAGGGCTAAAAAAATAATAATAATTGAGTAAGTAATTATCAGTTATTGAAGTAATTGTCAGATTAATGATGCACTTTTAATAATAGATTTATGGTAATCTGGGCTATACCGACCCCAAAGCTGTCGGCTTGACTTGGTAGTTTGTACATATGAATATCCTTTTTTAGAGTTTATAAACATAATGGGCAATACAACACAAACGTTGATTTGTCAGGTGCAGAGTATTGATGTTTAGCAGTCCTATTGGATGTTTTCATTATTCCTAATTAGTGAAAGAATGCTGAATAATGCTCTGTAAAGTGTCTTTGGGGACAGAAAATGTCTTTGAAAAGCGCTATGTAAATAAAGATTTACTTACTAACATTTACCCTACAGGCTGCAGTAAAATGTATTAAACAAAATTTAATATTACGCTGGACAAATTGCAAAGCCTGCATCTATAGTTTGTCAACAAAAATTGATTTGTTTTTGTGCTCGAAGGTTCAGTGTTTGACCCATTTTATTTTTATTTTAGCACAATGGATCTGCCAAAACCTGCCGTTGCCTCCTGTCCAGACCCCAACAAAGTGAACTTTACCTCCCACGGCGGCTCTGCATTCTGCCCTGTAAGTCTGCTTAAGCCCCTGCTCCCCTCCATGGACCTGTTGTTTCGCAGTCTCTCTGTGTCTCCGGCGAGCAATTTGGCGGACCAATCCACCTCCAGTGGCAACGTCCCTGTTGGCTCTGTGATGGAGGCCTCTGGGGAGGGCCTGGCTTTCTGATTACACAGACAGTGGGATTGGGTTAATAGGCTAACTAGGAAACCTTGTGAACAAGGGCACTTGTGGTTGTGCTTTTTCCTAAGACATGATACAGAGTTCATTCTTTTCCTGAACATAGCAGAAACTTAACAAAAACTGTGTGCAGAAAATGAGCACAAATCTCTGAATAATATTTAATAAGCTGCTTGTTTTCCTGAATTTATGACCTCTTAATTTTCCAAAGATATGTTTTGGCCCCTGACATTCCCCTAATTTGTTTGGGGTTTACTAACACAAATTTGAAATTATCCAAAGAACATCTGACATATTTCAAAATATGACTGCCAAGCACATAAAACCCAAACCCCATTTCCTTAAGTTCATGTTTTGCCTGAATTGACTTGACTTTGCACCATTGGTGGTGCACAAAGCATGACAAATCTGTTGGGTACTTTTTAGTTACCTAATTATAAATACAATTACAAAAAACAAAAAAAAAAAGTAAATCACAAATAGACTTTCAAAAGCTGGGTTTTGGGTAAAATTGATACCTAAAGCTTCAGCATTTGTGTTCTTGCTTTAAATTGTCTGTTTTGTGTAAAATGTAATTCTATTCTTGATGGATCATCTCATCGTGTATAGGTTTGAGGTTTTCCAGCTAGTTGACTACCTAACAAGTTTTAGTGGTATATAGTTATAAGCCTTAGTATTTGAAGATGTTTTTTTGCTTACACTCTGATAAGTTAATGTTTAAATAGTTTTATTTCTGGTAGATATGTTTGCACAATTTGAACTGCACCATTTGTGTTGCAATTCATATTTTTATATTCACTTTTGTACTTTGTAAATGTAAGGGTAGTAATGTATATTTTTCTACATCTTTACCGACCTGCAACATAAGCTAAAATTGTTACTTTGCTAGATTTGTTGTGCCAGTATAATTTAGGCAGGTGTTAAACAAGTTTGTATTCGGTGGATTTTTATGCACTTCCAGGAAAGGGTTTTTTATGGAGATGGTATTAATTCCATATGTTGGTCCTGGGTTTACAGTCTGACAATGTCTGAAAATGAGTGTCTGTGTGAGCAAATGTGATCATCTTACTAACCTTTTCACTCTTTTATTTACCTGGTGAAATCCTAATGAACTTATTTTTTCACCTAGATATGTCTGTTTAAATGTTTTGAATTTTTGTGGATGTTTGGGACATTGTTATCTCAGGTTCTGTGTTTAGCCCACATCCACATTATGATGGTCAAATGTGTTGCTGATATTAAATTTGTCATAAGTTTGGATTGTTCCATGTTATTTCTGACATTATCATAAATTGGGCAATTAGAATTTCTTCCTGGGGCATTTTATGCAGGCTGTATCTGCTGTTAACCTCAGTAGAATAATCTCTGCTTTTACAGACGCTCTTCTGCTCTACGTATAGCTCGGACCCGTGGTTGGGTGTGGGCTGCGTTGGCACGGCGCGTGTACAGCTGTTGTCGTGATCGTGTGGGATTGGCTGAGCGTATTGGAGGTGGTACTGCGGGCGGTGGGCATTCAGAATTACTATAGGAAACATCAGAGATACCTAGAAAGGGTTCATTTTTGTCGCAAGAAAAGACTGCATTTAGAGAAACATGGCAATACTGTCGGTCGTGCGTAAACAGCTCAAGAGTCACCCCGCTGTGAGTATTTCTCATTTCTCCTTTACGATATTCAGTAAGAGAGCCATGACATTGAAACGTCTTCTCATGGGAAGGTAGGGCGCATTGTAGCCGCACGCGCTCCCTGTGAAGAAATGCAACCATAGACTACAAACCATAAATGGCAAAATTATCCCGAGCAGGATTAAGAGATTTTTTGGGGTGACAGTGGAAAGTCTAAATCTGTAATGTAATGCCATAGCACCTTACGTTTCTTACGCAAATGGGTCAGTATTAGGGCCTATGACAGGCCTGTAGATGTAGGGCAGACAACATATCTTAACTACACAACAATACTGTAATAATTCACTTTACGAGAGACACATGTGTCGGGTCCTTCTACGGCCATATAAGCAGACTGCTGCGGCACGTAGTGCGTCTTGTGGGGTCTTCTTACAGGCCTGATCTGAATAACAGTGTACCTTTGATCCAAGGGCGACTGGGTCAACTTTCCATGTTGTTGTAAACAGTTTCCATATTGCTTGTCACAAAGGAGTTCGTGACAGGATTTTTTTATTTTTTATTGGGCCCATTTTTCATAAGGCTTATCCTCTACCGCTATCCACCGCTAAATATTTGTAAGTTTACCCACTTAGTTTCATTTTTTTTTTTTTTTTTTTTTTTTTTGTACGATGTATGTATTTTAGTCTAGAGTCTCTTTCTTCATAGACACACTATAAACCTATTAAGTTTGTGGAGCTCATTATAGGTGCCCTGACATTAAGTTCTAAAGTTCTAATGTTATAACATGTTATACCTTCTACACAGCTCATACCTCTCTTCATCTTCATTGGTGGAGGAGCAACTATGAGCATGTTGTACCTGGCTCGGTTAGCTCTGAAAAACCCTGATGTCTCGTAAGTTATTGCATACATTCACAAGATCACCTAAGCATTTTCCAGTGCCAGCACATTTTGTCTTTTGTGTAGATGGGACCGCAAGAATAATCCTGAACCCTGGAACAAGCTACAGCCAAATCATCAGTACAAGGTAGGTCTATACTAGGAGTCTCCAACCTTTTTCCTCCTGTGAGCTACTTTTTGTAAAACAAAAATTAGTTGCTAATTTTAGTGGCCCTCAGAAACTGAGTAAATATAAGAGCCATGGTAAGCCAAAGATGAAGTACAGTTAGATGTCTCTAAAACATAAACCATTATCCAATTATCAATGCACAAATATAGGCATCACAATTATACATTTGCAATGGAAATGGGCATTTAATCAATGAAATTTTTGTTATTCAGTGCAATATGTATATTTCCAAAATCCCTTGGAGAGCTACCAGTAGGTCCCGAGCTACAGACTGAAGACCCCTGGCCTATACTGTATGAAACACTATGACATATCAGCTCCTCAATTAGATTTTTGGGCCACTGGATAGCTTGTTCCATAACAAGATAGGCACAAGTCTTATATAATAATATAATAATACCAACTTTTTTTTTTTTTATTCGCAGCCCATGAATTAGCTCTTCTCACAATTAAATGTGTTTGTTCTTGATAAACTAACATAATGCGTGTGGGTCCTTCTGTTTTCTTTGTAGCTTTTTTCAATCAACATGGACTACTCCAAGCTCGAGAAAGACAGACCAGACTTTTAAATATCACAACTTTCCTTATATGTATGAGTATGTGAAACGTTTGCACTTTATTGCCAAATACAAATAAAATAATATATTGAGTGGACTATGTTTTAAGCATTTTCTTTTACAATTGGAAGGTTAAGTAGCTTTCCATTATTCATGTAATTCATGTATTCAAACAATTATATTTTTGCTGTTATAGTAGATAGACTGACCAGTCATTCCCTTCAACATCCAGTTAGTTTGTTGTTAATCAAACTGATTTGTTTTCACATTCAGAAGGTTATTAGGCAATATAATTTAAAAGTTTTAGTATAACTTATTTGCTAATAAAAGAATATTTACTTAATGCTTTAAGTCGTGGTGTAAACAGTGTTGTGCTAATGGCAAACAATAACATACATTCTTGTTATAATTATCCAGGTTATTTCAGAAAGATGAAAAATTAGGACCTCCCAATTAACAATTTAAATATAACAATAACAAAATATTCCATCTTTCAATGCAAAATGTTGCCTGTAATGTATGGCAAGAAGAATGTATATTATATAGTATAATAATAAAATGATGAAATTTTAACATGTGACCATAGATAATAGATTTTTGTATGTGTCCAGCATATACATAGACCTTTCTGTAGCATAGACAATCGCAGGAGACACATATTTTTTCTACTGTGCGTGGTCTACTGACAGAATTGCATAATGAATACCCAGTGATAAAATAGCGATCGTCAGACCTCAGAAGTCTATGGTTCAATGCTGCACCACAGCCTACAGATGGCGATGTTAGCCATCAAGTAAGTAGAACGAAGAAAATAAAACATCGCGAGATATTGGGACAAACTTCAAAATAACGCGGGATAAGGACAGTAAAGGCTTCACAGCCTGATTTAGGTTAAATCAATTTTTAAATTATACATCCACTTCATTAGCCGCTTCATTATTTTAGACGTTCGCACAAAGTTGTCCTTTTTTGCTTCTCGTTTTCTGTGCGTGATTGTCGGAGAGTACCTGCCGTCAAGCTAACAGTTTGCCTGAAGTTTACGTCCCTTCCAAATGGATTCAACCGAAGATTTGTCTGCTCGGGTCCTTATAAAACACATCCTAAACGTCGAGCCACCCAGGACTCCTTTAACACGCAGGTATAATTTCATGTTAAAACGAGCCTAAACTGTCTCTGATCAGAACAAGTTTGATAGCTAATTTGCCACGTTTATTTGCAGCATTAGTTGTTCTCTAATTTAACTTCAGGTGATCTAATAATGTTCAAAATATGTGTGTACATTTGTTCAGTGTTGCAGCCAAAAACAGTGCACCCAGACGCAGTGGTAGACTAAACACGAATGACCCGGGCGCGCACACTCCACAGGGGATGCTTAGACGAAGTTTGAAGCACAAAATGCGGGAGGTTGGTTCAGAAGTCATTTGAAACCCATGGATCGATCATGGTAGACTAGCTGATTCACCCGTTTTTGGTTTTAGAGTATTTCCCGTAAGACACTTCCCAACAAAAGAAGAACTACATCTACTGTGTTAAAAAGAACTCCAGGTCAAGCGTCCATGCTGTTTGATGATGGCGATACACCGAGGCAAATATTCAAGAACATTCTGCTTACTGGTACGAACACACCATGACTGTCAAAACACAAGTGAAATTACTAAAATTTGTTATTATTTTTTCCAGAGCCTGTTAAATCCCCTCTGGTTAATGAGCATGTTGAGCCACGGGAACAACTACTTCACCAGCCCTCTCCAGACTCCAGTCTACACAGCAGACGTCCTAGGTGGGGGATGCATTTGTAATGTAATCCTTACTTTTCCCCAAATTATCTGGTTATATACATTATATATTAAATATAAATTAAAGAAGTCTGGCATTCATTTGAAACTAAACGCATGCTTTTAATCCACAGTATTGAGCTCTCAGGACTGGAGCTTTCTGATTTAACTATTGGCAATGTTGAAACTACTGTAAAAAGACTCAATCGTAAGCGGCCCTATCGTAGTCTAAATGTTACTGCATTTGAAAAGCGCCTTAAAGGAGTAAGAGGTAAGAACATCAAATTAGTGACAATGTACTGATAGTATTTATATGAACATGCTTTCATATGTACAATTTTCCAAAGATGTAGCACAAGAAGAATCATTAGATGATCACTCTTCATTATCTTTGTCAAGGTAATTGGCCCCTTACAATAGAGCAAAAAAAAAAAGAGTTTTTGGATGAAGTATTGCATGTAAAAATCTGCTGCTGTGCTCCTGTTTTATTGAAGCTCCACATCACTCAGTCTTAAGACACCTTTTACTGATGTTCGAACGGAGAGGAAAGCTCTACAGAGAAAAGGATCCAACCGCAGAAAGGTCTCAGAAGAAGACTTTGGAGCAGCTGTAGATAAAAGAGAAATGGGAAACCATGGTTGGTATTTTGAATATATTTTTGTTAGTATATAATGGGGCTAGTGTCAATGCTGGACATCTGTTTTCTTTGTTTCATTGATCTGACCTATTTTTATATATAATATATTGCAGGCACAAGTATTTTAGCCCCTACCCATCTTGGTGAAACCACCTGCTCTGTGGGTTTTGCTTTGGGCCTAAGCAAAATCAGTGAACCTGATATTACTACAGATATTGTCCACTGTAACACTGCGCTCTATGCGCAAACTGATGGCATTATGTCAAATTATCCAACACTTGCAACACAGGATAAGCCCACAGTTATGGCATCTCGGTTTCAAAGTGACTTGCAGTTGGATGTTCATCAACAGCCCTATTCATTTCCATTGGAAGAAAATACTATGGCAGAGGACCAGGACAGAAACCAGTCCTCATCAGCTTACAATGACATACCTGAAGCCTTGGATAAAAACACACCATGCCAGTCTGAACTGGAGAAAATGAAAGCAATCCAGTCATTTGTGGTTGGTGATCTAGCAGAGTCGGAAACGGTGGACAATATAGAGGATCACAGTTTTGGAGGGGGTAATTCTCAAACAGGAACAGAAGATGATGCTGGAGCAGTGACATTTTCTCAGAGTGGGGACAAAGCAAATATTCAGACTGAAAATCATAGTGGCAGTGAGGACGGTGAAGAGGCCAAAAAGGAGGATCCTGCAACTGAAAAGCAAAGTCACCAAGTTTATGATGAAGAACCCATGCATGAGGAGGAGATGCAAGATGAAGAGGAAAGTGAGGAAGAGGTAGAGAATGAAAAGGAAGAAAATGAAACTGCAGAGAAAGGAGGTGAGAAAGAGGAGGGTGATGAGGAGGTGGAGCAGGCAGAACCTGACATGGGTGGTGTTGAAGAGGAGGCCGAAGATTCTGTGGGGGACTCTGAGGGTGATGAAGTGCTGAAGGCAGATTCACAAGAGGATGAAGATGGAAATTTGGAACACATCTCTCAAAGAGCAGTATGTACAGATGGTGAACTGGTTATGCCTACCCAAAATACTGATGCTGATTTTCCAGTTGACACTATACCTGGTAAGAGCATGCACACATTTGTATATGCATTTCACTACATAAATGTATCTCTGTTTGCTATATTTTACAGAAAGTTTTAATGATATGGCTGAACCCTCAGTCTACAAAGATGATGATGCTGAAGTTGAAGCTGACCTCACTGAAAATAAGGAAAACACGTTTCAGGAAAGTGATCCACCAGATGAAGTTGAACGGGTGGAATACTTTGAGGAGGGGGGTGAGGAGGAGGAGGAAGAGGACTGTAATGAAGGTATGTTTTAATTTCAGCAATATTTCATAATAATATTTAATGTTTTTAATTTCTTCTCCTTACAGATTTCCCTGTCACGACACCTGCATTTATCAAAGAAAAGAGGAATTTCTTAAATTGTGATCCACAGGCCTCACCTTTCACTTCCAAGAATATTCAGCCTAGGTAAACTTTGGTTTTGATTAGACACTTAAACAACACTCAACTTATGATACACAACACTTATGATATTCTTATACACTACTGATGTCCTTTTAAATGATGTGTTTCAAGTGGTGCAGGTCCAAAGTCTAAACAAAAAGGCCAGAGGAAACCTAGATCTCTAAAGAGTGATGCAGGCCTCCCCAAAAGCTACCTGATGAATGTGTTTAAGCATTTTACCAAAACAAAAGTCTCTGCAGATGTCTACCCAGTTTTAAAAGATGTGTAAGTCCAGTGTGAAATACCATTTTAATAATTCACTTCAAATATATTAACTTAGTAACACAAGGTTGTGTAAATTGCTTTTACAGAATGGACAAGTTTTTTGACCGTCTTGCAAAAGACTTGGAGGCATATGCTCTACATGCAAGGAGATCAACAATAGATGTTGCAGATTGTGAACTTTTACTAAGAAGGTAGGTGAGACTATTAGTTAATTTCTTTGTCTACATTACTATGCTTTACAATATAATAACTGTAATATTTATTATGTGTTTTTAGACAGGGCCATGTTAATGATAAGGTCCCAGTGGAAGTTCTCATTGAAAAATATCTTCGCATGGATCAGCGTAAGATTTTAATACCAATTGCAACAAGTGGGAATGTAGTTTTCCCTAAAAGAAGATAAACGTTTTCATATTGGCTGGGCTTGTAGATTAATTTTTTTTTTATTGACTCAAGTTCTTTGTGTATGTCTTTTTCATTTGAAATGTATATACTTGTACAAATAATTAAAGTTTAAATACTACAATACTTACTGTTATTTTGCACTGTAAATTATGAATATTTTTTAAAATCTTTTTTTCTAATGTTTACTTTCTCTGTAGTTGAACTATTACTAAATGGTTAATATCAGTCTACTAAAGCATTAATTATAAAGACAGATGAGGTAAATAAAGGAAAACATTTCCTCCGAAGCAGCAGGTGGCGCTTCAAACGTGTTCACAGGATCAGTTCTTTCTTCTTACAGCTAACGCTAGCCCCTCAGCTAACAACAACACAAGATCCCGTATTAGTGTTTTAATTTGTACCTAATAATAAGGTGAGTCTTTCGCCAATCTGAACTCAACAACGTTAGATAAAAATGAAAGGCTTTAAATGGCCGTATAATCAGCCATATGTCCTTTAGATTACCGTCCTTGTTGCGATATTTTTTGGCCCTTTTTGTTAGGTTTAGTGCTAGGTATAGCTTCAAGAAGAGTGCTCGACAGGCTGCTTCCGAGCTATCGAGGTAAACATGAATTACATAACATCTTATACAATTTAGAAACATAAGCCAAGATCACAGTACATTTTAAATCCGTTTCCATTTGGCCTATGAAATTGTGGCAATATTAAGTTATATTTACGTTGTTATTTGTCAGTAGCTTTCATTTGCACCTGTTGTTATTTGTTCTTCACCAAAACCTCGCTGAACATGGTGTAAAATGATGTTTGTCATGTATTTGTACATTGTTGTGTTTGGTTTTCAACATGACAGATTATCCCGTTCATCCCAAGGGCTTTTGGCTAAGGTGAGGGCTATAATGTGAGCCTGCTGTTGTTCCCATTTTCTATTCAAGAGAGATATCGTTTCTGAATTGTTTCAAATGATGTGTTTTTTGCTTTTCGCACTTAAAGTTTAAGTTACTTTTCGCAAGCTTCAGTCTATTAAAAGAGTGTTTTATTATAAAGACGAGAGGAAGTATCTGTGTATGGATTTAATTTGAATGACGCTTATCTTTTTCAAGAGTCATTTCTGCTGTGCAGTAATTACAATAGATCATGTGAAAAATAGATAATTTTATCAGCTTTCCTTTGAACCTTGTGTTGTCTGTACAAGTAATTTTTCTTTGTTGCCTCATTATTTACATGCAAGTGTCGTTCAATTTTTCTCTAACCTCTAAACGTGACTACTGCTATTGCTCACTCCATCAAAATGTTTCTCTTACAGAAAAGATTGGTTGAAATTAGTGTTCATTGATATGAAGCTGAACACAAGTGAACATTTTCAATAGAGAGTTAAATTAAATATGGCTGTTTGATTTATATATTTGTGCATGATGTACTGTAAGGCGGCACAGTGGCTAGCACTCATGCCTCACATCAAGAAGGTTCTGGGTTAGATCCCTGGGTTCTGTGTGGAGTTTGCATATTTCTTCCCGTGTCTGGGTGGTTTTCCTTCAGGTACTCCAGTTTTCCCCCATCAACACAAAACATGGTACACAGGTCTCCAGGAAGAATAGCTGATAGCTAATGGAGGTCAATTAAATACAATCACTATTTACTGCTATTGTTCTGAGTACAATGATGTACATTCCTCACACCCATTTTGTTCAGTATTTAAATCACCTTTAAAGATATAAAGGCTGCATTTTGGCCCATAATTCTGGCTACAGTTATTGTCACCATATTGCCAGCTTGGCACATCAAGGGCCATCCATCTAATCCCTACATGATCATCAAATAAAAACAACATAATTGTTAATCCTTTTAATATTATCTTCCTATTGATACTTTGCAGTGGCGTCCCACTGGGGGTGTTCAACATGTGTGTATTGGCATAATGTTTAGCTGTTACTATAGTGACCCAAACATACAAAAAGGTTTTAAGTTTTAAGTATGAAAACTCATGCATAGTCCTGTTTAGAAGCTTACTTTTTAACAAAAAAGGTGGTAGTGACTGACTGAAAAACCGTTGGCTGATGCTAGCTAGCCAGTGACATAATTTTATGAGTTAGAGACTTGTTTAACAGCACAGATCAGCTCACTTGTTATAGTTCCAACTAAGTAAATTATTTCTGGTCAGATCATGTTAGACAATCTGATCTGATTTATTTTAACTGTTAAATGTAACCGCTTTTAACACAGTAAGTAGTGCGCTCAGTTAGCATCACACCACCAGGGAATGTTGATGACATCAGCTGCAAAGTATCAATGTTATCTGTTTTCTAACATATTGGCCTTTTTCTTAGGGGGCAAACTGCTTCCACCTTGGCATGTATTGATGTAGATGAATGTTGAAGTGGAGGGCTGAGTGGAGAGGCAGTTTTTCTTTTTATCCTTGTTGCACTGGACACCTGTCACGCTGGCAATGTCAAGAGTCCCGAGTCCCCCTCCCCCTGCGGAAATGTCCAGCGGGCCTGTGGCTGAGAGCTGGTGTTACACACAGGTATTGAGAAGAATAACAACTCATGACAATTGACAATACAAGTCCTATTTTAAATGAATGATTCTCTGTCCAGATCAAAGTGGTAAAGTTCTCGTACATGTGGACCATTAACAACTTCAGCTTTTGTCGTGAGGAGATGGGGGAGGTCATCAAGAGTTCTACCTTCTCCTCAGGGGCCAATGACAAGCTTAAATGGTATGTTTATCCTTTTTTAAGATTATTTTCAAGACACCATATTGATCAACCCTGCTTTCACCACCACCAGCATACATTCACTGCTCTGTACTTACTTCATTCTTCAGTTTTATTTTTTTTAATTGGTGATCTATGCAGGATTTGGCAGCGCACGTAGTAATTTTGGTGCAAATGAAAAAAAATCCTGTTCGCTAGAGTGATCTGCAGCTATCCATTGGAGTTCCTCCCATTGGGTACTGCAGTTTTCTAACGCGAAAGTCAGCAGGCTTGTTTATTTAAGTTATTTTAGATTAATATGTAGATGAATATTTAAAAGGTGCAAACGATAACATAATGATCCATTGGTGTCGTAGAGTATAACTATGTAGCAGACTCAAGCATAATATGTGTGCTTTTAAAACATTCTGAGACTCCAGTAGATGGTACATTTTGCCACAAAATGATAACTGGTGAAATAATTGACACAAGTATAATTTTTTTATCCATACTTCCATCATCAGGTGTTTACGAGTGAATCCAAAAGGCCTGGATGAGGAGAGCAAAGATTACCTTTCTCTCTATCTGCTGCTGGTCAGCTGTCCCAAGGCTGAGGTTCGCGCTAAGTTCAAGTTTTCCATTTTAAATGCTAAAGGAGAGGAAACCAAAGCTATGGGCAAGTCACAAATCACTGCAATGAATGAAAACTCAATGTATTCAATTTAAACAAGTTGTGTTTGTCTCCTGCAGAAAGCCAGAGGGCGTATCGCTTTGTCCAAGGGAAAGACTGGGGTTTTAAGAAGTTCATCCGAAGAGACTTTTTGCTCGATGAGGCCAATGGCCTTTTACCAGATGACAAACTGACTCTTTTCTGTGAGGTACAATTGTGAACTAACCTTTTTAAGAGGTGGTTAGATACACATGTCACAAGTTAATTATATTGACATGTGTTATTTTATCTGTTCTTACACCTCTGTTTTATGTAGCAGAATGGAAATCACCCATTTCTTCAACAAAACTGTGTGTTTCCAGGTGAGTGTGGTGCAAGACTCTGTCAACATATCGGGTCAAAACACAATGAACATGGTGAAGGTTCCTGACTGCCGGTTAGCAGACGAGTTGGGAGGCCTGTGGGAGAACTCGCGCTTCACAGACTGCTCCCTATGTGTGGCTGGACAGGAGTTTCAGGCCCACAAAGCCATTTTGGCAGGTATGGACATGACCACAACACACCCCTTATGCAGTAGCTTTGTATTAGTACCACCAATTGAAAGGTTATTTATTATGAAATATACAATATGCAATAGAGCAGCAGCTCTATTGCAATTTAAATTGCAAAACTGCAATTTTAAAAATCCAATTGCAATTTTTATCTCAGAAGTGCTTGTATCTGGTCCATTTTGATTACGATTCATTCTACAGGTCTAAAGTGGAGCTAAAATGATGTAATGTTATTCTTTTTCAGCACGCTCACCAGTATTCAGTGCAATGTTTGAACATGAGATGGAAGAGAGCAAGAAGGTATGTGTAAATGTATTTAACTAGGATGTTATTGAAGTCAATTTTTTTCTTGTCTTACCCCTCCCTCTCTGTCCCGGTTTGAGACCAACTAGTGGCTGCTCAATTGGTACTGCAGCTCCCAGGGACTTGGGCCCAGAAAGAATTCTTCTATACAGTGCAGTGCATTTTTTGGGGGAAATCAAACTGCATGTGTTCAGGTTACAGGACATCTTTTTTAAATTTTTTTAAATCCTCAAAGCACTTAAGTTAGCTTTGTAAGACTTGGAGTAGCCCTGCTCTGAGCCTGATGTGACCCACTGCTCTGGGCACATTCTAGCATTTCTTGCTCTGATTGGTCAAAACAGACCATGGTGTGTACGTTACTGCCGTTACACGGGTGGAAGGCATTAGCCCATATTGAGGAAGTAATGCAGAAGGGAAAATAATTTTTGGGCCCATGCGCCACTGAGCACAAGCCACTGAAACAATACAACGTCATCTTGGGTTCACCTTCCTGATTTTATTATACTTCCATGTTCTTTATTGTTACATATATTAATTAATACATTTTTTTGTACTGAAACATTTTAAATTTAAACTTGACAGATATAGCTATAAAATGTCTTATGAGATGTAAAGACATTAAGTTTTTTTTAACAATACAGTTTCTAATATGATGAACAAGCTGGAATTGTGTTTTACTTACGTATCTTTTAGAACCGTGTGGAGATTAATGATGTGGAGCCAGAGGTCTTCAAAGAGATGATGTGCTTCATTTACACAGACAAGGCTCCAAACTTGGACAAGATGGCAGATGATCTACTTGCAGCAGCTGACAAGGTAACACACATTTTCTAAATATAATCTTACATATTCCCTTGTGTATACTGGTTTGGCTATACTTGCATTTTTGTTTGGCCACAGCAACGTTTAAATTTTTTGACACTTTGTTCACATTACTCTCCTTCATGACTCCAAAAGGCCCTTATGCATCCTGAGGGAGGCTTACCAGAGCAGAAACACATTGGTGTGTTTTTAAAACTTCTAGCCATGTACAAATAAAGGCTTTTTAATTATGAAGTGTGCCTTGGAGTTCTTTGCCTGCATTTTCCATCTTACTGGCATCTTCTACCTATTTTGACAAACTCATTATTGACTTCTTTGCAGCCAACATTTTTTTTTTTTTTTAAACAAAACACTTCTAATTACAGGCTTTAAATTGTAATTAAATGGGTATAAAAAGTGATGACTAGTATTTTGTTTGTTTTCTAGTATGCTCTTGAGAGACTGAAGGTGATGTGTGAGGATGCTCTGTGCACCAGCCTCTCTGTGGATAACGCTGCAGAAATTCTGATCCTAGCCGACCTTCATAGCGCCGACCAGCTCAAAACACAAGCCGTTGACTTCATCAACTAGTAAGGACATCAGAAATATCCATGATGTTATTTTTAATCAGATGTACATGTCATAATCATTTTACTCAGAACCTTTGTTTGACCAATGAGGCTCATGGTCTGATACTTGTGTGAATGACTAGATGTAGTTTGGTGGTCAGCTGGTGTGAGATGGATAGGTTGCACTGCTACAAGCTTCAAGTCATTTCATACATCAGGAAGTTTGTTAGTTTTTTCTTTTAATGCTCCTTATGTCTTTCCGTCTAAGATTTTGGAGCATAATTGTTACACAAAGTTGGTATTAGTAGTGTTTACTGGTGGGCGTAGTGATTTAAGGCGCTGCAAATATGTGGTTGTTACCATTTCGATGTGATGACCACTGGCATTTGCCGAATATCTCTGTCTTGTCCATGTAATAAAACCTTAAATGTTTCTTTTCATTTTTAGCCATGCTGCCGAGGTGATGGAGACTGCAGGTTGGAAATCCATGGTGGGGTCCCATCCTCATCTTGTTGCTGAAGCTTACCGCTCATTGGCCTCGGCGCAGTGCCCCTTTCTGGGACCCCCTCGAAAGCGGCTCAAACAGTCGTAACAGCTCCTCATCCTGACTCTGAAACCCATGCACATAAATACACAGACCACCCCTCCCCAACACAGGGATAACCGCCGCCCTTGCTGTTACCTACCACACTACCTACAGCCTGTCATCGAACTGCCCTTCTGTCCCATCCAAATCTGCTGTATTTTGTCTCATCTGAGGACATAGGGAAAAGGACAGGAAGGAGAGGGAGGAAAGGAACAGTTGGGACTTGTGGATGTTTGTGGTTAACAAAAAGACACAACCACCCTCCACCTCACTCCTAAACTGTCTGACATTGTGCTCTTTTACATGTTTAAACCTAAAATCCTGTGACGTCAAATGCTACTTCCTGTTGGGGATCTGGATTCTGTATAGGAAGATGAACAGAACACATCAATTCCAATGGGGGCCAACTGTTCGGATATTCTGCTGCCCTCCAATGGCGAGTGTGGATTAATCAAGTCTTATTTTCTGCCTTTTCTGTGTGATGTTGAAGAATAACGACTTAAATTAATCTGGATGTTTGTTGAACTGCAGAAAAAATTAAGTGAGCTTGTTAGTTACACAGAACTTGAAGCCCCCGCTGAAGACAACCAAGGGCTATAATTGACCAGAAGAAGAGGGACAAAATCATGTAATTAATTTTCCCAAAGAAAGTTGGGAACATTGCACTAAAGTCACAGGTCACTCATTAGCAACCCCTACCAGCAGTCAAGTAGAAATACTCAAGCACAGTGTTATGGACTAAAGACCAGTTAAATGACCAATAACAAGTTCCCTTTAAGATTTATCAACAAGCTTATGTGTGTAATCCATATATTCTCCACAGTAAACTTTTTTTTTTTTTGAAACCGTTGACGTAATTACAGTAAACGGGACACAGGAAAGGGCAACGCACAAGTGGATGTCACTGTTCAACATGTGTAATTTATGTCTGGATTTGTCTTCATCCCTGAAAGAAAGTCATGTCTGAGATGTCAATTTATAACATGTAAAAATTGGATTCAAATTGACACATTCAAACAAGCATGTTAACTTTATTTTAAATTTCATATTCTCAATTTCTTTTCAGATGTGTCATTTATACTTTTTCCATAGAAATTTGTACAGATACAAGCGATTTTGAAGTTGTGTGTAAACAATGGTATTTTCAACCGTTCAAATGTTTTCTTTTACAGACATGAAGACTGAGGGGAACTCTCATCATGAATGAACACGTTTTAATGTTCATAGTTAACAGAAACTGAAAATGGACATACAGGCACAACATGAAATCAGTTTGAAAGTTATTGTTTGGTGGAAAATGGTAACTGATAGAAGGAATACTTGATCTTTCTTTCCTGTAGATATTGATCATTATGAAAAGACACTTAGTTGTTGCCATTTTTGTTCTCAAAAGAATAAACCACAGCTATTTTATATTTAAAGGCAATTGTCTTTTTGTTGTTTTAAGTGAAACCGTAATACTGACATTTGTATCAAGGAAAAAATAAGTATTTTCATAATGCTCACATATCAAATATATTATTTATATATAAAATTGCATAAAAATGCAAAAAGCTAACACTGTTTTTGTCATGTTCACTCATTTTAAAAAAGCAAATTTTTTTGAATTATTTTTTTTTTTTAATCCAAAACACTTTTTGAGACTGTAGTTGTTGTGTTTCCATAGATTCTCACCGCGGGCTCTATCTTGCCATCAGTCATTGCACGAGCACAAGTATTAACACAGGTTTGTGTCCAGGTCGGGCTGTACTTGGCCGCTGGGGCTGGAGTGAGACAGTACAGGTATATATATGGGGATAGAGTCCTGTACGGGTCAATTTTTGGAGTCCGCCTGTTAACCCTTGATTTTGTCAAAGTTAAACCTTTGCCCTCCCAGACCCGTTAACATTCCACCCATTACCCGGCCGTGCCCGTAATAAATCACACACAAATTAAAAGCATTCTAACTGAAGCATCCACCAGAATACGAAAAGTTACAACTTCAAGAATTACAATCACAAAATGAAATGAAATTGTTATGCTTTGTTCAGTACAAATAAGAATTCACAGATGTGACTTTATTGTCAAAAATACAGCACTTCACAGGCATTATTTATTGAGCATACGCTCAGTGCCACAGACTGAACCAGGACTAACCCAGGACTAACTCAGGACTGAACCAGGAGGACTAAATCAGGAGAGCTCCGTGCCCCAAGGAGCTATGCGTAGCCGTCATCTGATCGCTCTTTGCAAACACCCTGCTCCATGGGCTTGGGGTTCTCTGTCTCTCAAGTCCATGACCAGTCCTGGTTTAGTTCTAGTTTAGTCCCAGTGTAGTCCTGATTTAGTCCTGACCCACGCGTGTGTAATCACTACCCGCCCGCATACCCACCTGTAAAATTCCAGAACGTTAAAACCCGCCCGTTTATGCACCAATAGAAGTGCCAGTATTATACAATTTTGGATTGTCTGTCACAGAACTGGCTGGGCTTGTGTTCCTGTGCACGTGCGCTCCTCTCACCTATCCGCACCACATCCGTGCACGCACACTCACGTCAATCATAGTGTTCCTCAGTTCCAGGCTCCTACACCGGGTCCGGTATCCGTGGGTAGCCAACGGGTATGGGCTTGTTTTAACATTCTGGAATTTTACAAGCGGGTATGCGGGCAGGTAGTGATTACACACGGCGGGTCAGGACTAAACCAGGACTACACCAGGACTAAACCAGGACTAATCTTGGACTTGAGAGAGAGAGAGAGCCCCAAGCCCAACAGAGCAAGGTGTCCACAAAGAGCGATCACGCTTAGCTCCGTTGGGAGCGGTGTTCACTGGTCCTTTCGCCTGTGGTCATCTGATGGTCTACATGGGCACACTTCCGGGCCCGTCTCAACAGTTTTTTAGTAGGCAATACTTTAGTCCTGGTTTAGTCCTGGTTTAGTCCTGGGATCAACCCTTGGTTAGTCCTGGTTCAGTCTGTGGCATTGAGCTTATGTCCAATAAATAATGCCTGTGAAGTGATAACATATTTTTGACAGTAAAATCGCGTCTGTGAATTCCTATTCATACTGAACAAAGCGTTTAATTTTGTGATTGTAATTCTTGAAGTCGTAACTTTTCAATTCATATTCTGATAGATGCTTCAGTTAGAATGCTTTTAATATGTGTGTGATTTATCACGAGTACGGGCATGTGAACAGGTGTAATGTTAACGCGTCCGGGGCGGGTGCGGGTAAAATTTTAATATAATCACAGGTTAACGGGTGGGTGCGGTGCTGGACGCGTGAATGTGGGCGGGTGTGGGTCTCCAAAAATAGACCTGTGCAGGACTCTACTTCGTTCTTTTGCCTCCCATTACGCAGCAAACCGGTATCTTTCTTGTGCACTCCCCATTCCACATCAGACCCGCTGATCTCCTTCCTCCCCCTGGTCGGACAATAGATCCATGGGTCGGACCCGCTGCCTGTCCCAGTTCAACAGTCCACTCCCCCTCTCACCTGAGGTTTGCGGTTCCACTGCTGCTAAATAAAAAAAAAAAAAAAACACATATGGAAAGCTGTTTAGGTTTCCCCCAAACATTAGGCTTCCTCTGCACACATATACACAAATACATACACACACATTTTATATACAGGCATGAACAAAATTGTTAGTACCCCTCTGGTAATGAAAGAAAAATCAACAATTTTCACTAAAATAACTAATACATTTTAAAAAATCCTGAAAAATAGCCAGTGAAAATCAGACACAGTTTTTGATTTGTTGTTCAACAGAATTATGAAGAAAAACAAACTAATGAAACTGGCCTGGACAAAAATGATGGTACCTCTAGAGAAGACTAAGTAATTGAACAATAGGGACATGTTAAACTTATTACTTAGTCCGGTTCCTTATATTCATTTTTAACCTTAGTGGGAATTTTTGGGGGATTTGCTAAAGTATACATTTTTGGAAAGGTTATAGTATACAGAGTCAGAAAATCAATGTTTGCATTTGCCCAGATGTCTATATGGTGGCCATATTTAATTTTTTTAAAACGGACACCAAAAATATCTTTTTGAAATATCTCAACCTCTGAATAAGTTGAAATGTTGACTTTAACTGCTAAGCCCACATTTTCAGGGTCAGGGATTCAAATGGTGCTAGTTACAAAGCAATAAAACTTACCCACATTAACCCTAGGATGCATAAGTGGGTTTGGTTGTTTTCTTGCAATATCACTGTAATATGCGCATGTAATACTCCTTGCTGTTTTTTTTTTATTATCCTGTTGAAATACATCAACAATGAGGGTACAACAAACTATAAACATCACATGCAGTTGGTCAGATAACTCAAAGAGTTTAAAAGTAGCTAACATAAAATTTGGATGTGGGATGTCAACATACACATTTAGGCACAGTATGATTACGCAACCTTTTTTTATAAGACATTTTCTATACATTATCATTATCATCATCACTTTTATACCACCATAGACCGTATATATGAGTGGATATGTCTAACGCTGTACCCGCCATGTGCCAAATAGGAAGTTCTCCACGAGGCTCTTCTGGCTCCTTCTGACTCTGGCTTCAATGGACTTACATTAGGATCTTGTGGCTCCTCTCTCTGTACCTGCTGCAGTGAGCCTCGACATTTTGGTCTTAAAATGTTTGTATGAACCCGCTCTACATGATCCTGAATTTTTTTTGTTTTGTTATTTTGTCCGTCAAAAAAATCCTATTCGTAATATAAAGCCCGTGGGTGGATGAGATCTGTCTTGAGTATCTCAAGTCTCTGGATGTTGTGGGGCTGTCTTGGCTGACACGCCTCTGCAACATTGCGTGGCAGTCGGGGACAGTGCCTCTGGACTGGCAGACCGGTGTGTTGGTCCCTCTGTATAAGAAGGGGAACCAGAGGGTGTGTTCCAACTACAGGGGAATCACACTCCTCAGCCTCCCTGGTAAGGTCTATGCCAGGGACTGGAGAGGAGAATCCGCCAGTGGTTTTCGTCCCAGTCGTGGAACACTGGACCAGCTCTACACTCTCCATCGGGTGCTCAAGGGTTCATGGGAGTTTGCCCAACCAATCCACATGGCCTTTGTGGATCTGGAGAAGGCATTCGACCGTGTCCCTCGTGGTGTCCTGTGGAGGGTGCTTCGGGTGTATGGGGTCCGGGGCCTTTTGCTAAGGGCTGTCCGGTCTCTGTACGACCAGAGCAGAAGTTGTGTTCGTTGCCGGCAGTAAGTCAGACCTGTTCCTGGTGCATGCTGGACTTGCCAGGGCCTCCCCTGTCACCAGTTCTGTTCACTGTATTTATGCACAGAATTTCTAGGTGCAGTCAGGGGCCGGAGGGGGGCCGGTTTGGGGACCACAGGATCATCTCTGCTGTTTGCAGATGATGTTGTCCTGATGGCTTCATCAAACCAGGACCTGCAGCACTGGGCAGTTTGCAGCAGAGTGTAAAGCGGCTGGGATGAGAATCAGCTCTTCCACGTCCGAGGTCGTGGTTCTCGCCTGGAAAAAGGCGGCTTGCCCTCTTTTCCTGCCTCAAGTGGAGGAGTTCAAGTATCTCGAGGTCTTGTTCACGAGTGAGGGGAGGCCAGAGCGCGAGACTGAAAGGTGGATCGGTGCAGCATCTGCAGTGATGCGGTCACTGTATCAGACCGTTGTGGTGAAGAGCAAGCTGAGCTGAAAGACAGACTCTCGATTTACCTGTCAATCTACGTTCACTTATGGTCATGAGCTCTGGGTAATGACCAAAACGATGAGATCGCGGATACAAGCGCTCAAAATTAGTTTCCTTTGCAGGATGGCTAGGCGCTCCCTTAGAGATAGGGTGAGGAGCTCAGTCACTCGGGAGGAGCTCGCCGTAGAGCCGTTGCTCCTCCACGTTGAGAGGAGCCTGATGAGGTGGCTCGGGCATCTCTTCCGGATGCCTCCTGGACGCCTCCCTGGAGAGGTGTTCCGGGCATGTCCTACTGGGAGGAACCCCCGGGGAAGACCTACGACACACTGGAGGGACTATGTCTCTTGGCTGGCCTGGGAACTCCTCAGGATCCCCCAGGAGGAGTTGGAGGACGTGTGTGTGGACAGGGAAGTCTTGGAGACCCTGCTCAGACTGCTGCCCCCGCAACCTGGCCCCAGATAAGCGGAATAAAATGGAATGGAATAATATAAAGCCTGGCTCCATATTCACTACTGTAACCGTGAACATCATGAGCCTCATTTGAGTGGCGCTGAACGCTATGGGTGTACATATATGGGTGGATCATATCACAACATCTTCAGGGCCTTTGTGAATACCCTGTGATAGCAAATATAAGCAAGACCGCAGCGTCAAAAAACGAGCAGGACACTCCTGTTTGGATGACACAAGAACTGGAGCTCGGAGCCCACGGCCAGGCCAGAGCTCGGAGCCCATGGAGCTGGGAGCCCGACAGACACTCCTCCCTCTCCCTGCTTTCACTTCCGTATTGCCAAATTACTTGTACTATTTATACGCAGGGTACAGTGGTATCGCCAAACTGCTGCTCGGCTTCACTTGTCCACTTGTATATGCTAGCTACCTGGTAGGTGCCAATATTTGACTGCGTATT